CGTCGTTACCTTTTTTCAAACATCGGGTTGAACCAATAAATTATCTTGGCATAGTTGCGGCCCCCAATAATAGGGAGATTAAGTCGTCATCTTGCTGGTTTACTGATCTTTTTTTAGCTTTACCATATAACTCTTAGCCTCTCCAAAACTCATACTAGAGGACATTGTTAGAAATATGTATCGAAGTGGATGTAGAAAAAACTTTAAAGGCTAGAAAGCTGTTGAGTTTAAAAATTTTAGGTTGAATTGAGACTAAAGAAAGCAAAAAGATGAAAAGCTAAAACCTTACAAGCCTTTTATATAGACACGTTGTAAACCAGATGGACAACACATTCTGCACCACGTGTCAGAGCATGGGTAAGTAGACTTTTTTTCATCTTTTTACTTTAAACTTTTCTGCTCAAACAATTTCTCTCTTCATTTAATACTGTCAGATCAAGCTGAAACCTTACAAGCCTTTTATATAGACACGTTGTAGACCAGATGGATGACACATTCTACACCACATGTCAGAGCATGGGTAAGTAGACTTCTTTTCATCTTTTTACTTTAAACTTTTCTGCTCAAACAATTTCTCTCTTCATTTAATACTGTCAGATCAACCTAACTGGATGCACTTCAGGTTAGACCATCCAAACCGAACAATCATTAGGGGTAAACTGAGAACTCAGTTCACCTCTAAAGTCTAAAATATAGGCTAAAATCCAAATTTTTGAAAAAAAATACAAATCTCACTACAGCCAAACAAACTCCAACACTAATATCGAATCATTCCAGATAATTATTATCTCAACAACCTATAAACTAATTATGCATTCAATCCAGAACACACACATAAGATCGAATAACCATTAGGTCAAACCATAGCTCAAAGCTAGTCATAGTAAAAAATCGACATCTCTTTGCAACATCGGCCTTCGACGAACCATGTAGTTAATCTGTCCTATACTAGAGACGTCGGTAATAAATTTGGCGATCTGATACTCAGATTGCCTGATGGGAGAATAGAATGTTAAAGAATATTTGATGATCAAAATGATGTAATAGTCTTTTCTCCTTTCAAAGCCTTAACAGACAATCAAAAATATTTTTATCATTTATACTGACCTACTGACCTAACATGACATAATCAATGCCACCTTAATTCAATCATATCCTAATTATCTCCTTATGATCCACATTAATTTACCTATAAATATAAAAACTCAAACATCATAAAACTAGGTTCATCCCACTTACTTTTCTCTCTTCTTTCTAATTTTTTTTTAACTTAATTTTTATTGACTTGCACGTCAAAATATAAATACAAAAAATACCGAATGTTTTTTCCTCTAATCATTTTTTTCTGCATTTATAAAAATACTTTTAGGCCGGAGTTCAACACCATCAGATATATTTCATTATGTCGAAGTTGAGCTTGAACCTCCTTCAGGTATATATCGCCGAAACTTCAACTACCGACTTTATATTTTCCTGTAATTTCATGACCAATTTATATACTATTTTATTATCTACAGTTCTATTTCTATTCCTTAAAAAAAAAAAAAAAAAAAAAAAAAAAAACTTAAAAGCTAAGCTCCCTAGATAAAAGCATCTAGCACAGGCACAGGGTCTTGTCAGTCAGAATCTTCCTGTTGGGGACACGGGACACCCTTTGTAGGAAGCGCCAATGCCTTCTCTTTTCCTTTTCCTTCTGGACTAAAAGGTTGCGTTGTTTGTAAATCACTCCTTACAGACTAAGTTAGTATTAGTATATTATTCCGGATCCTAAACCTGGAAAAGATATCTAGTAGTATATTCTTAAGTCAACCAGCTGAGATCAAGAAGATCGAAACAAGACTATAGTTCAATTCAAGGGCAAGGAAGAAAGCCCGCACAGGGCAGTCAAGAACAGAAGATGATGTCTACCAATGCCGAAATGGTCTCCTCCCGTATGCAGACAATGCATAAAATGTGTGGGTTGTTTGTGTGTGAAAAAGATGAGAGGGTGAAATATGGGCCGCCGCAACCAGAGGCGTGTCCCTACTGTGGAGGGATGGTGCAAGCTACAAACATAAAGACCCTATGGAAGTTCTCCTTTTTGCCTCTGTTTTTCTGGAAGAAGAGAAAGAACTATTGCAGCACATGTGGAAAATAGTTGATGATACTGTGATTAGATTTTGTGTGCTAGATGATGATATAGATATCCAGTTAGTAGTGACAGTCGTTCTGCTAGTTGTGGAGTGGTAAGTTGTGGCTGCCGGAAAGGCTTGTATGACTTTTTTCCTTGTAGTTGCCAGGTGTTTTACGCCTAAATCTTTGTCTTTGATAGGAGCATGTTGTACCCAGGTTGGAGTAATTATGTTATTGGCTTGATCTATAGAAATAGTAACTACTATGTACATGTAAAACTCCACTCTTCTATATTTATATGCTGTTATTTAGGGATCACCAAGCATGTTCTATCTGCAATTCGAACATATTTATCGCTCCTCCTGGCGCATCTGAGTTCTGAGAATATCAGTGCCATAAGTTAGTGCTACCGACTCGCTATGGCCAAAGTAGCAGATTGATTAGTTCAAATATTTAGTGAAACTTTGACCTTCGAAATTGTCAAATGCAAAAAGCATGATCTTCATTTACGTGAATATCTACCGTAATCACTGATGCGGCTTTAAAAGTACATAAGAACAGGGTTTTTTATATTTTGGTACAAAATCAGAAAAACCTTGCAGTTATATAATGTTAACAAGCCAGTTTGAGTTATGTGTGCGCATTAGCATTTGCTGCCATCGAAGCCAACCATATTAGCCAAGTACTTCTTTATGAACAGAACAACTTGGAGGAGTTACAGCATCTGCATTTTTAACAAATGAACAAAGAAAATTAGAATCCTCTCACAATATATATGTATATGTAGTATGTACCACTACCGCACTTCCATAAGTTTGTGGTCCCAATGGCAGTCCTGATCCTCAGGTTTCATCTATAATTCCAGGCTTGCTTCCAACTGGGCTCCTGATTCCAGCCAAATTCATTTCAATTCACAAAGGCTTCTCACCTATCACATTACCATGGGGATCATAGTTACAGTTGATTAATGTATCTCCGCTTCAGCGCACAAATTTCGCGCACCCAATTTTCAAGCTATTCCTCCAAATTATTTGTGTATAACGGGGGCAATCTTTTATTTTTTGTGCAAGTATTAGTATTGCAGTTGTAGTTACTTTTTCTCTGCTGCCCATGCCGCAACTGCATCGCCTAGTTTCCAATCCTTGCCGCTGCTCCAGAAGAGATTTTCCACATAATCGCTATTTGAATGAATCAAAGCACAATCTCGTTGCCTCTTATCTTATGTGCCCACCAGGAAGCAAAATTTGGAAGATTTTTGCTCCATTTGAGAGGAGGAAGCCCACGCTCGGCTCTTAAAATCTTGTGAGGTATTAGATATTGTTGAATTACTGCACTAGAAGTTTGTTTAAGTAGACGTCTGGAGAAAAGTTGGGAAGAAACTTCATTGCTTGAGTATGATAAAGATAATAAAACAAGAGAAGAAAGGAGGAGGAAGGTTCCTTGTAGACTACATGAAAACTTGGTTCTGTTCTGATCTCCATAGATTTGAGGCTTTTGATTGGAGATCACAGTTAGCTTTTGATGAGTAAGTTGATTGGAGATCACAAGTTAATTGAGCTATATATATAAGCTTGCATGGTAGATTTGTGCTGAAATTTTTGATAATAAGACAATGTGTTATTTTCATTCTGAGAAAGAATCATTTTACATGGTTGGAGACAAGTTGCGATAGAGTTTAGGAGTATAACATGCTTGGGAAAGTGGCATAGAGGATCGGTTTGACTTTCAACTAACATAATGGCTTCTAATCTTTGTAAGCTTAAGATTAACCAACATTTTCATGAGTTCATCACCATGCAAATGCTGGACAAAGTTTTGCGAACCAGACTTTGACGATGTAATTCTGCAGGAATCTGATGATTTGAGAATATAATTAATAAGGTGGCTTTGGCAGTAAACATCCTTTCTACATAATAATCAGACGAATCTAGTGAAAAGGAAATAAATATCATGCAAGTTGAACGTTCTAATGTAAATGTCACATACCAAAGCACATAGCAAATTGAAGAGAGTTGGTCGCTGAAATACTTCAACCAAAGGCCTACTGTGAACCAACTGTGAACGTGCAAACAGCAAATGCGTCGGTTAAGGCCGAAATGTGGAACTGGACTGTTTAAAACATTCCACGATCCGAAAGACTACCAATCAACCTTTGATCCATCCAAAAAAATGAAGAACTAACTAATTGTCAGCATCCAGAATTGTCTGGATAGTTAACACAAAATGGTGTCTTAACAGAGAAATCCAGATGACAAAGGAAGACGCCTGTTTGCCTTTCGGCGTTATGTATGAAACCTTAAGATACATTTAAATTGCCAAACACTGTATGAAACACTTCGTATTCGGTTCTACTGAAAGTACAAATTGAGCCAAAATCAACTAATAACTACCCGAGCAATCTGAAAAGCTATGATGACACTGTTATCCTACTTCTTGTTCCAAATACTATTTACATACAATAAAATCTTTCCTTTTATCATAACATTTCCACTTGTATTTTAGAAGATAACTTTTTCAATTATTATTCCTCCCACCACTGACTGTTTCACAAACTTCCTAAATACATCACCAGCAGATCAAATAAAACTGGAATGGCTATGGGGTTCAAAATGTTGGCAGGTCCATCGAATTGACTCAGGCTCCACAAAAAGACACCCACAGGCCACAGGTCGAGAAGATGATTGATCTTGGGCCCTCAGATTAATGTGATTTTTTTTTTCTTCAGGTTTTCCACGTTTGCCGAGTGCCCTAAGCCCATAATGACATCGGCTCATTCAAAAATAACCAAGAAAGGCCGCTTGCTTTCAACGCGTTTAGTTGATGTCATTGTAATGGACTAAAGCTGTTTATTTCTCATGCGTTAAAATTAAAACTCTTATTCGAACCTTCTAGTCTGACACGCTTTGAACAACAAGTATACCTCTGACATTTCTTCCGTTCCAGACTAACCGATACTTCTCTCGATCCTTTTATACCTATAAATAAATATCATAATAAACGCTCGAGCAACAATCGATTTGCCTGGATTTCCTTCCAAGTTTCAAACAAGAAATTCCAAAAAGCAATCAGAGCCCACCCCAACCGCAAGGTAATCAAATCAATCAAGAAAAGAAAGACAAAGATGTGTCTGGTGTTTGTGTGTGATGAGGATGAGAGGGTGATATCGAGACAGCCGGCACCAGGGGCTTGTCCCTACTGTGGAGGGATGGTGCAGGCCATGGATGTAGAGAGCCAGTGGAGGTTCTGCTTTTTGCCTCTCTATTTCAGGACCAAGAGGAGGTACTACTGCAGTTTATGTACTAGGCGCTTGGTCGTCCAATGATTCAAGTTTTCTTGGATTTGGGATCGATAGCTTGTTTAATCCTTTTCATGTTTTGCCGTGCGGATCATCCCTAATCTTCCTTTTCCCTCTTTCTTTGTCCTTGTCATTCCATCTATGTATACATAAAGTTTGACTTTTCATAAGCGAAAGAGTTTATTTATTTATTTATTTCCAATTTGCTATTTGATTGCATGAGAAGTTTTGTTTCAAAGCATACATAATATGATCAATACTGAAATCGGGCTCTTTTTTTATGGATTTTTTTGACGAGGATTTTGCCATACAGCAGTAAATAAGGGGAAATTTTTGAAAGCTCCTGAAACATAAATTTAGGGCGGAAAATAGACCGACGCAGTTTGGGATTCATTATTGCCCATTGCAAAGTTGATCAACAACACTTGGATAAGGTTGTAATTACATTATACATTATGTATTATTATATGGATCATATTCCCCTGGGCCCATTTGACCCAAAACAAAAGATTTTTATGGAGCTTGAACATTTTATTCTCGGCCCTTGCTTCGGGCCATGTAAATAAGCCTCTTCCTTATCCACAAGTTTTGCCTACATGATCGTTGATCCAAACCTTTTTTAAATATAAAAAAAAAAAAAGCCATATTTATTTTATTTTATATGTAAAAACCTTAACATGAGTTATCAATTGCAAGGTACGAAAAATTATAAATAAAAAAAATAAATTCGAAACAAGTTTCAATTGTACTTCTTAGTATATTAAGTGGCATTTCTTGTTTTTATTTAAATCGTAGAGTTGGTTGCAAGTAGTAAACACATTTTTGTAAAGGATTGATGCATGGGATGTGCTTCAATTATTCAATTTTCCATTTCCTTATATATTTTTACCATTCATTTTATTTTATTTAGAAAAGAAATATATAATTTGAATTATCTGAAAATGAAATAATGTATTTATTTATATTAAAATGGATATAACAAGGGATTGGAAATGAAATTAAATGAGAGAATGGACCTATGAAATAAGGGGAAAATATTGGATGTAACGAGGTTGGAGTACATACTAGCATTATTTTTCAATTTCACACGTGTAAAAATATTGGATAGATGATGTATTTATTTTTAATTATTATTAAATCAATAAAATGGTGAGAATTGAAATTAGACTGCCATAAAACGGTAAGGTTTCTTTCCCTTCCGCCTAGAAGCTCGCACCGGCCTCTCTTCTCGAAGGATTTGATCGTTCGAGGTTTCTTTCTCTCTCTCTTTCCAAATTTCCAGATCTAGATTTACTTTCTACTTGGTTTCGGGGCTTTCGTTTTACTTTAATTATATATATATATATTCATATTCATTTCTCTTATTGCCCTTTTATTGGGTAGCTGAACGGAGGCATTTTTTTTAATTTTTGTTTTTGAAGCTGGAATGGTTCGATTTACGTCATGGATTTCGTGTTCCTTGTTGATTTGATGAATTGGTTGAATCCTTAGAATTCTGCTCTGTGGATATGAATCTGATTTACCATTTACCGCTTTCTTTGTTTCGTTGCGCTTCCACAGTGATAGTGTGTTTGGTTTATTAATTCGTTATGTTTTGTCTTTAATTGGCTAATCTGCACTGATGTTGGAATTGAAAAGATGACAGCAAACATATCTTACCCGTTTCTTACTCCCATAGGCTGATCGACAATGATTTCCAATTATAACTAAGCTGAAATCACCAATATTCATTATTTCGATCTGCTTCATTTGTGGCATTAAGGCAGATTTGCCTGTAGTTGTAGATATAGTGACCTTTTCTATGAGTCAGAGATGGCCTAGTATGATAGCTCTTGCCGCTTAGTATAAGCAAGCAATCCAAAAATCTATTTGTGATAGAGCATTTATGTGAGATTAGTCAAGCGGAATTTTCTCGAAATTGTGCATTAATTAGTTTTTGTTATAGTTTAGAAGAGTTGAGGAGCAATGCTCTATGTAAGATCTGTCTGCAAAATTCTGTAGTAATGATATTTCATTATCCTAAAATATGCATGTGGGAGGTAATTGAGAGAGGGTATTGTTTAGGAACATGGTCATGTAGCTGATTTATCATTTCAATTTTCAACCAAGCTCATGACAAATTCATTGTTCTTCTTTGTTCAAAATGTTTCTCTCTTTCAAAGGTACCTATTTTAAGACTTCTGGATGATTTGTATAAGCTATGATAAAATTGTCATGTCATAGATGCATATTTTATGCTGAGATGGCTTTATTCCTTTATTCTAGTCCCAGCTTTGAGAATCATCATAAGCATTATACTTTATTTCTGGTTGATGATTTGAACTTTTCATGTACCTTTATATTGCCAGAAAACTAAAAAGAAATGGAGAAGTCCTGCAGTCTTCTTATTCACTTTGACAAAGGAACACCTGCAATTGCTAATGAGATTAAGGAAGCACTCGAAGGCAATGATGTTTCTGCAAAGATTGATGCCATGAAGAAAGCAATCATGCTTTTGTTGAATGGTGAAACCCTCCCCCAGCTTTTTATCACCATTGTCAGATATGTTTTGCCTTCGGAGGATCACACTGTCCAAAAACTTTTGCTTCTATACTTGGAGATAATCGAGAAGACTGATGCAAAGGGTAAGGTATTACCTGAAATGATCTTGATATGCCAAAATTTGAGGAACAATCTTCAACATCCAAATGAATATATTCGTGGTGTGACCTTGAGGTTTCTCTGCCGTTTGAATGAGATAGAGATTATTGAGCCACTAATCCCTTCAATTTTGCAAAATCTGGAACATCGGCATCCATTCATTCGGAGGAATGCTATATTAGCTGTCATGTCCATCTATAAGCTTCCACAAGGTGAGCAGCTCTTGGTTGATGCACCTGATATGATTGAGAAGGTCCTTTCAACAGAGCTGGATCCATCTGCCAAGAGAAATGCATTTCTTATGCTATTTACTTGTGCACAAGATCGAGCAGTTAATTACCTCTTGACCCATGTTGATAGGGTTTCTGAATGGGGTGAATTGCTTCAGATGGTTGTGTTGGAGCTGATTCGTAAGGTTTGCAGAACAAACCGTGGGGAGAAAGGGAAGTATATTAAGATTATTATATCTTTATTAAATGCCCCATCAACTGCAGTTATTTATGAGTGTGCTGGCACCCTTGTTTCTCTGTCATCTGCTCCCACTGCTATTAGGGCTGCTGCCAACACTTATTGTCAGCTTCTTCTTTCTCAAAGTGACAACAATGTGAAGCTTATTGTGCTGGATCGTCTGAATGAGCTCAAGTCTTCTCATAGAGATATTATGGTTGATTTGATCATGGATGTGCTTAGGGCACTTTCAAGTCCAAATCTTGACATCCAGAGGAAGACGCTTGATATTGTTCTTGAGTTAATAACTCCTCGAAATATCAATGAGGTTGTTCTTATGTTGAAGAAGGAAGTTGTGAAGACTCAAAGTGGAGAGCTTGAGAAGAACGGAGAATACAGACAAATGCTCATTCAAGCTATTCATTCCTGTGCAATCAAGTTCCCAGAAGTTGCAAGCACAGTTGTGCATCTGCTGATGGATTTCTTGGGAGACAGTAATGTTGCTTCAGCTATTGATGTTGTGGTTTTTGTTCGAGAAATAATTGAAACCAACCCTAAACTTAGGGTGTCCATTATAACAAGGCTGTTGGACACATTCTATCAGATCCGAGCTGCACGGGTTTGCTCCTGTGCCCTTTGGATCATTGGAGAGTATTGCCTATCTCGGTCTGAAGTTGAGAGTGGCATAGCAACAATCAAGCAGTGTCTTGGAGAGCTACCTTTCTACTCTGTTTCTGAGGAAGAGGAAGCTACTGATTCTTCAAAAAAAAATCTGCTAGCAAACTCCATTACTGTCTCCTCCAGGAGACCAGCTATTCTTGCTGATGGTACATATGCAACCCAGAGTGCTGCCTCTGAAACTGCTTTCTCCCCTCCTACCGTTGTTCAGGGCTCATTGGCTTCTGGGAATCTCAGATCTCTTCTACTCACCGGCGACTTTTTCCTTGGGGCAGTTGTTGCTTGCACACTAACTAAACTTGTTCTGAGATTGGAAGAAGTGCAGCCGTCCAAAGTTGAAGTTAACAAAGCAACCATGCAAGGATTGCTGATCATGGTCTCTATGCTGCAATTAGGACAGTCTTCTGTTCTTCCACACCCAATTGATAATGATTCTTATGAGAGGATTGTTTTGTGTATGAGATTATTGTGCAATACTGGTGATGAGATCAGGAAAATATGGTTGCAATCTTGCCGTCAAAGTTTTGTTCAAATGCTATCAGAGAAACAGTTGCTAGAAACTGAGGAATTAAAGGCAAAGGCTCAGGTTTCTCATGCACAACCAGATGACCTTATTGATTTCTACCATTTAAAGAGTTGGAAGGTGAGAAAACAATTTTATGGTCATTATTTTATGTGCATAAGTTAACATCTTTGGTTTTGTACCAAGTTTTTCATGCCCATATCTGGTCATCTATGCATTTTTGTATTCTGTTTAAGCATATGTATTTAGGTTTGTTTTGATAGAATTTTCTGCTCTATCTCCTTGGCTCACCTTCTGGCTTTTGCAGATCTTTTGGTTATTGACTCATAATTTGGATTCTTTCTTGGATTTTGTCATGAATTTATGTACTTGAATCTGAAATTTTATTTTGCTAACTTCCAGGGTATGAGTCGGCTGGAATTGGAGGATGAGGTTCAAGATGATTTAAAACGTGCAACTGGAGAGTTTGTCAAGGATGCAGATGATGCAAATAAGCTTAATCGCATTCTTCAACTGACTGGTTTTAGTGACCCAGTATATGCTGAAGCATATGTCACTGTCCATCACTATGATATTGTTCTTGATGTCACAGTTATCAATCGGACCAAGGAAACCCTTCAGAATTTGTGCGTGGAGTTGGCAACTATGGGTGATCTGAAACTTGTTGAGCGTCCACAAAACTATACCCTTGCTCCTGAATCTAGCAAGCAAATAAAGGCCAACATCAAGGTGTCTTCAACTGAGACTGGAGTGATATTTGGCAACATCGTTTATGAGACTTCAAATGTGCTTGAAAGAACTGTTGTTGTTCTTAATGACATTCATATTGATATCATGGACTATATTTCTCCTGCCGTTTGTACCGATGCTGCATTCAGAACTATGTGGGCAGAATTTGAGTGGGAAAACAAGGTATGTCTTGAACTATTTCGGTTATTATTATTACCAACTTGTATGTCAACCTACCTGTTTCCTTTAGACATTGATGATGCTTCAAATATAATGTGTTTAGTATGCCAATTCGAATGCAATTTTGTATTTTGCTCAAATTTATATGTTGCTCACATGCATTGGAAGAAGTTTTGATTACGGTTTAATTTTATGCCCTTCTTACTGCTTATAGAGTTCATTCTCCTGGGACAGAGCTAACAGTTCTTATCTCTATTGATGTTTCAATTTTAATTTTCATTATTATTATTATTATTATTATTATTTTTGTGATTCAGGTTGCCATTAACACTGTAATTCAAGATGAGAAGGAATTCCTTGACCATGTTATCAAATCAACCAACATGAAGTGTCTCACTGCACCGTAAGTTATTTAAAAATAAACTGATCAGTTTTTTGGTTTCTGCATTGCATGCTGTACGATTTATATGTCGCTTTATTGTTGTGAAACAACTTTATGAAACTATCAAGCTCAATATTTGGAATAACAACCTTGTGATATGTTGGTTTTCATAATATATCTGTTTATGGTTTGGTGACCGAAAATAACCATTCCTTAGAAGTTGCTGTTGAATACAGTAGTAAATCTTATATGCGAGCTGCTTGTAGATAATATGCATTTACAGTACTAAATCTCAATGTGAGCTCCTTGTAGATAATATGCTTTGTAATAAATCTATGCTTTCTGGTTCCTTTTTTTTTTTTTTTATGGCTGTTTTGTGTTTCAGATGCGCTCTAGATGGTGAGTGTGGATTTGTAGCAGCTAATCTGTATGCAAAGAGCGTGTTTGGGGAGGATGCCTTGGTAAATGTGAGTGTTGAGAAACAAGCAGATGGGAAGCTTAGTGGGTACATCAGGATAAGGAGCAAGACTCAGGGGATTGCTCTTAGTCTTGGGGATAAGATCACTTTAAAACAAAAGGGAGGAAGTTGAGTGACCAAGTATTTCAACATCATTTGTTTCACCAATACTGGTGGTTATTCTTGTTTTGGCTTCTCAGTTGCTACTTCAATCTCGCATTGTTACTGCAAAATTTAATAAGAATTTGAATATTCTGTTTAAAAATGCAGGGGATGGCAGCCTTCATTTTTGTTATCTTGTATCTAGGCCAGGGCTAGTAGTAGTGGTGTTATTTGGGATTACATCGTTCAACAAGGTCATTGAACATTGGTTAAAATACTGTTTTCTGGTGATGATAAATCAGCATTTTTGCGTATTGTTTCAGAGCTTTCTATATCTCATTGCTCCATAATAAATTTTGGTTCTCTTTGCTTGCTGCTTTTGCTTGTTTATCTCTGTTCTACCCCATGCTTGGCTTTAGAAAGGTAGATTAAATTTCATTTTTTCTTTCCTATTCCAGTGGCCATGGGTGCTTTTCGTAAAAAAAAAAAAAAAGAGAAATAATAATAATAATAATATTTTTTTACATCTGTTGTTTGCAGCCGATACAGCAAACACCATTTCGGTGCCTTTAGTATATAACCTGTAAAGAGATGCACCAAGTATATTTGTTTTGTTGAATCATATCATTTTTAAGTACCACTGTCTTGTGAACTTCTCTGCACCATAAAATTGGAAAATTATCTGTCAGTTACGTTCTCCTGTTTCTTATTTCGGAACAAGAAACTTGATAAAGCTCAAAACAACCCATGTTCAGTTTAGAGTTCTCAGCGAGTAGCTCTAGTGCCAGCTTATAAATGAGAAGAGCAAACCCTTGCTTCAATGCTGAATATACATACATACATACATACATATATATATATATATATATATATAAATTTAAGCTCATATAGGGAATATAGATCTCAAAAGAATTATAGTAAAAAACAAAAAAGGGCTTTAACAGAATCAAGAGACCCATATTGATGAGTATGACAATTATTATGAACTAGACTAATCACTTACAAAGTTTCAACTTTTTGAAGAACAAAGATACTATGGACTTGGGGTAGGGTTTTGTAGCCAGGCAAGTTGGAATGTTTTCAGGCTGTTCAATCCACAGTTTATGAGCAATACCACCAGTTGTCAGCTTTTCTGACAAGTTCAATATCTGGGTTTCTCCCTTCACCTCAAGGGTGACCTACATGTTCCGGAAAGAAAACTGAGGTCAGAAAGACCACTTGCAAGTGCCAAGCACTAACCAAAAGACTCGATGAAAAGACCAAATCAAGGAACAAATATAGGACCATGACACAACTTCAGACAAAGGCATAGGGGTAAAAAAAACTTGCAAGTAAAACCGAGTGACATTCGCTATGATTAGATGATGAGATATTGTCAAATATTTGATTATTACACCTGTAGTCAAATTAATTACCTCAAAAACATAATAGTGCTATTTTTTATTATTACCTCAAGAAAGAACTGTCTTACAGGCTGTTTTTTTCTAATGTAAAGATTAGATTGACTAATTTTTCTTCTCTTGATACACCTGCAAACAGGTTATTATGTAAAAATTGGGATTTTAAACTTGGAAGCAAGTATTAGCTTCCATTGGTTGTACAGGTGCCTTTAATAGCAGGGTTTTACTTGCTTTTTGGATAATGCAATACATTAAAAAAATTTATATAAAAAACATAATAATGCTTGCCTGCTTAGTGGATTTCAAGAGGCAAAGTTGAAGACTATAAGATGATGAGAAGGCATAAACATAAATTAGAAAAAGGTAAAATTGACAATAAAAATGCAAAGTTTACTGTCCTTCATTCCTTTAAATGCCAACCTGTGTGCAACGCTCATTTTAAGGTGATGGTAATCAACTAACTAAGAAGGAATTTTTCCTGGTAGAACAAAGTTTCACCTTTGTTTAATTACAAACCTAGTAAGATGGTTTGGTTACTACAACTTCAAAACAACTGTGTGAGAATAAGATGGGTAATCCTAAAAACATAACGTCCATTGTTGGATGGTTTTATGGGACAAATGGATCATGCTCTTTCATTTATTTCTCTCTTCTGCTATGAGATTATTATAACTTAAAAACGACTAAATTACTAATTTATTAGATAAAGTCGTCTACTTTAAACGATATCTCAATCTATTAATAAATCAAATTCATTCACGGGGAAAACACAAAACTTTGCTTACCTTGTGCATTGAGTCTATATTTTCAGGGCTGCAATACTGGAGTGTGTGAGGATCATTCTTGTGAGACCAAATGGCATTGACGGAGGCATGGCATCCCTGTGTTACCAAGCTCCCCAATGGCCACGTGTCTATTAGGTCCCTCCGAAGAACCACGTACTGCACCAGCACGTCGTCGTTGTTCCCTGCGGTCGGAGAGTCGGTTTTGGTGGCGGCGGGATCGGAGCTTGGTTGACTCATAGAGCTCGAAAGCTTGGGATTGGTGAGGCAGATTGGAAGAGAGGGATGAACCCTAATCTTATAACTTCTCGGGGAGCTGCCAGGGAACCTACAAAGACACAGTGAGGGAAGTGCGGCCATTGACATTTAAACGCTGCGTTGCTTTTTAACGGATTACCCTTTCCTCGCATCTTAACTGGCCTTGGGCCGATTCCAGGTTAGGATTTCATTTAAAATTTTTGTATTGGACCGACACTCCTCCTCAAAATGGTTTTCTTTATCTTTCATTTCGAGTGGGAACAAAATATATTGAAAAGAAATTACCATGGCCTACTAACCTGCCTGCCTGCCTGCCCGCCCCTTTCATAATTGAAAAGTTAAAATGAGGTAGGTCAGATATTTCATTCGAAATGAATGACGTTAGCTAACATCAATCAATCTGACATTTATGAATTTGAAACAAAGCTTAATGTTTATATGCATGCATGTTTTACAACTTTCTATCCCACAAAAATCTATTTTCTACATAATGCATTGACTCTCTCTCTCGTTCTCTCTCAGAAATGGCTACCACTTTCAGGATCTTCTTTTTTTTGCCTTCTTGTTATTAATACTATTTCTAAATAAAGCATTTTCACGCTAAAAGCACTAAAAGCAAAGTGTTGTCGATGTTCTACTTGCAGATGTGTTAAGAGAAAAACAACTCTGCGACTTAAGTGGCCTTTGGCTTTGCTTTGCCGCAATTTTGGTTTGGTTGCTGCTACTGATATTTTATCATGATGATGGCGTTTCTTTATGCTCTCTATCTTCATGGACTTCATTCAAAGCAAGATGGGGCATGGAGTTGGAGTTTTGCAGCCAGATTACTTCCTGGACCACTTGTCCGCGATTAATAACCTCCTCCTTTTGTTCAATGGGTTCTCTGCCTTCTGCAGATCTTTCACTGAGCTTATATCCGAGAGATTCGCAAATGACTTTGATTTTCCCTGCATAATGATTCGATGTGAATATTATTTGATATTTTCAAATGGACTAATTGAAGCCTCAAACATACAAATAGATAAAAGGATCCAAAAGAGAACACATCTTCTTTTGAATTAATTTCATACTGCAATGCACTGCAAAAGAATAAGGGAAGGGAAACATACCATCTGGGAAAGCTTTGGTGTTGATTTTGACTACAGGGTTCTGTAGCTCCTCCGGCATATACAATGATCATCCACCCTAAGGAATAAAAAGGACGTCCAGAGGATAAGATTTTCCCATAATTTCATATTTGCCACTAAAACAAGGCCCATCACAGCCGCCCAACGAAGATAAAAATCTACAACATTGATTAATTAGATCCTTGTTAATCGCCAAACTAGATACAACATATCTACCAAGGCCTCAAGAGATAAAACAGGCTGCTCTATACAATCTACATCAAGCTACGCTGAATTTAGTGCTAACGCCTAACGATGATTTTAAGGAAACAAATTTGAAGAATGAACAACTATATTAATATTGAAGAAATAACAATTACAGAATCAGCCAACACTTTATTCCCGATACTGTTTTAGCAGAGATTCTTGGCTATAATACACAGGTAAGTTCTCAAGAACAGATACAGCCATCCAACAACACATAATATCATCTTATCAAATCTTATTCTTTTGGGAAAATTGATGACTAAATAATTTAATCACAGCTAGACCTCTAGTTTCATTTTATGTCAAAAAATTGAACATGAAGTCTAGCAAATTACAAGCTTTAATGCCAACTAGCTAGTAACAGACTCAATGAGTGAATATGAAAGTAAAAGGGAACAACTATACCTTAAGTATTATTATCAACGAACCCAACATAATCCTTCATTTTCAAATCCGGGACCCAACATAATCCTTCATTTTCAAATCCGGGACCGTCCATTTGCTTTGCAGTTGACAGAGCAAAACTGTTTCTCATCAGATTCTGGCAACTCATAAAACTTGATCCTTGAGTAATGAAATGACAATGTCTAAAGGAACTGCTGTCCAAGGGCAAAGGATGAAATATGATATCGAACTGGATAGTTCCACGCCTTCAGAACATCAATGTGTACAAGATAAAAAGATTAACCCTCTAAAACATGGGGAAAATGCACAACATTTTCCTCCTAGGTTAACCACACCAAAAATAAAATAATTAGACAATCACACAACTGCAGATGCAGTACGTCGTAGATCTATCCCATTATCAAATTTGCCGCTGGTTGGCCTAGCTTTAAAACTGCCATACCTTTCCCGCCTTGGCAGAAAAAGAGAAAGGAGCATTTGCTCCAACCCCTGCACTGTGTACTTTGCATACTTACTGGAACTTGCATCTTGCTCTACCAATGGCCCATAATTCTGCATATAGCTTCGATAGACAGGCAACACTGTCTGCACTATCAGTTGGCACATCTTCTCCCTCAAATCTCTTTCTGAGATAACCCAACTAGACTGCTTCTTATACATATCAGCAAAAGCTTCATTAAAAGACTTCAGCCTTTTCTTTACAAGATCACGAGCAGTGGCACGGCCACCTGAGAACAGAACTAAACCTTCCCGGCTTAAATGACCAGGGAGTTTTCCCCAGCTCTCTCTTAAGAAGACAGTGGAATAATACTCCTTGTACTGTTCATGCTCCCTCAACCAAGAATCTCCCATGAGGTCTCCAAGTCTTGTCCCCTTTAAATGTTTGAACAGATGCCAGTGGTTGTTCATGGCAAAAAGACACGACAAGGTGGTATCGTTATATGCCTTCACCCATGTTTCCAAATTCAAATCAACGGCCTTAATTATTTTCAAAACCTCGTTAAGAAGAATCCTCTCTTGGAATTTTTCATGCTTCCAACTTCGGTGAATGACCAGAACTTGGGTCAGGATTGGCTTATAATCATCACCAAGAATTTTATTGCAGTAATCAGTTATAAAGCTCACCAATCTTGGAACACTCCCATCCTGAGGAGGGGGACTCTGCCTCTGTAATTCCACCTGAACAAAGAGTTCCCAGAAAATTTCAGCTGCACCCTCGATCACCCTTTTGATGAGATCTCTTGTCAGGTTTTGGATCTCAATACATGCTGCTCCGCCAAAGAGCCGGTTGAAATCCAATCTCAATTTGTTCAGAGATGCAAATATATCCAATAACTTCAGAAGCTTAATAGGATCTTTCTTACTCTCGGTAACAGTCTTCCCAAACTTAAGAAAAGCAAGAATACCAGCTTGTGCAGTAATTTTGCTGAAGCATCCCTTCCAAACATCCAGGCCAATCCTCTCAAAAATGTCATTGCAAAGTTTGAACTCTGCCTCAAACAAATGCTTCACTGCAAACTCCAAATGTTTTCCCCACTGTCCAATATACCCTTCTATGCTCTGCACATCATTAAATTCGGAGACTGAGATTTCAAGATAATCTAAATCAAGTGCCAGCAAACTAGCTCTGACATTTGAACTACGAACTTCAACATAGATCGTAATGCACTTCTCAAGTCTATTATTAGCAATCAACCTACAAAGAATTGCCTGCAACTTCTGAATAACAGTTACAGGTAAAGGGGACGGTGCAATGCATGCTTGTTCGCCCAGTGATGGAGATGACATTGGAAGTGGCACGCTGTGCTCCATCAATAGTCGTCTAAACTCATGTTCCAGTTTATCTAATGCAGCACGTGAAAGTCCACCATCAAGATGTATTCTTTCCCCATCATTTTTCAACTCCCTCAGACCCTTGAGTGATTTCTTCAGATTTGAAAGGTACCGTCCATTAGCAACTCTGTTATCCTCCAAATACTCAACTATGTCTTCCAACCATTGAATTGCCAAACCGCAATTATCACCCAGAAACCTTAATGCCTCCTCATGGCGTTTCAGCACCGATAAATACCCAGGAAGATCATTCCTAGGATCTGATAGTAGGGACCTTTCAAGTCCATGAACGGCATCAAAAACCTTAAGCACTGCTGCAGCAGGGCCCACGGCTCGGTTAATGTGGCCCCCAACAGCAACAAGAGCATCCTTGTCGGCACGAATTGGGCGGACAGCAGCTTCTAGGGAAGGCAATCTTTGGTTGATCTCCTCTAACCTTGGTCCAGCCTTTTCAAGAGCCAAACCTAGGGTTTTCGATTTCTCTAAGCTAAGCTTTAATGACCTTTTTACAGCTACCAAATTATCAATGCAATTATTGTTCTTGAAATCATTACCATTTACAGATGGGTCCATTTTATTCCCCGAGAAAAATCCTAATCAAAACTCTCACCCGTATCAATATGACTGAACTAGACTACAAATTTTAAAGATCTACAAGCAGAAACAAAATGGGTTTTCCTTGTTTACTTTTTTAGAGTGAGCGTATCAATTTCCCTATGGTTCATCCAAGAAATAATTGAAATGGAATTAATGTGGACTCATGCAAGAACAATACCTCATTTTTCTCTTTCATTCCTCACCAAAACAAACCAAATGATACACGGAATCCATAACTAACCAGATAGTCATCAGATAGAGAAAAAAACAAAACCAAAAAGGGGAGGAGAAAACGAGGAAAAAAAACTCACTCGGAAATGGAAAAGAATAGCAGTGGGAGGAGTAAGGATAGTTGAAACGGCGAGTAGAGCCGACAAGGAAGAGAGTTGGAGTGGAATCTGAATCAGCGAGTTTTATTTTACAACAGTGAAAGAGTGAGTCCTGCCAAGACAGAAGGCACCGGCTTCTCTCTCTTTCCCCAAATAATATTTCTGTCCCTATACTTTGTGAGTTTTGCTTACATTATTTCATCTATTTATAGAACATTCTTTTTTAATTGTATCCTTTATTCTTTTTGTTTTCCTAGGTTAACGTTTGATCTATTGACATTTTTTTTTTTGGTATTTCGATTGACATTTTCTTTTTTTTTTTTCATTTATTACTACTAAGCAACTATATTTTATTTATGAAAACAGGTGGCGTTGAATTGTCGCAAACATTAACGAAAAAAAAAAAACAATTGCCAACGTAAGATCGCTGTCTTTCAACAATTATAGGCAGTAATAAAAATAAGAAGTTATAGGTAAAGAGAGTTTTTCAGTATGTTAAAGAAATCTAATACTAACTTGTTGAAATTGGCCATTGACCAAATATAATTCATTCCAACAAGCTTTGCCAACTTTCTAACTTGATGGGCAAATGCAAAGACAAATTCTTAGAATCAGCCTGCGGCTACCTAATTTGAATTCATGCACATTTGAATACCAAAAAAAAAAAAGTACTTATTTTCTCTCCCAACAAAAAAAAAATGTTGTCATTTCTCTTTATTATTTGCATATTCATACGAGTAATTGTTAACCTTAACCATGTTTTAACTAAGATCCCATTTGTCACTAGTTTCAAGTTTGACTTGCTCTCGATAATTCCCATTGGCAAATTAAGAAGGGGGCCCGTTTGTTTGCCTGGTTACAATGGGTTCTCACTCTAACACAGTAGGAACCTCTTCTCACACGCAAACAAACAAACTGGCTCTGAGACCGGAGGGGTGAGTCCAAATTAGAGGTGGATAGAAGAGGGTAATAATAATAATAATAATAATTGGGTCAGTCCAAAGTAGAGGTGGATGGAAGAAGGTAATAATAATAATTATTGTTATTATTTTATGGAAAACTTTGACAACCAGCACTTCTAGCCGTGGCAGCCTTAATCCAACACAATAGTTGCCTTTCAACGACCGATTCAGGTTTTTCTAATGTTTATTTATATAATATATATAGAAATTTATGAATAGATTTAATTGTATTATCAATGAATTTATTAATTTTATGAATAAAAAATTTTTTATGAGGAAATTTTAGATGTTTAGTGAAATATGTAATTTTTGTTTAGTTTTTGAAAGTATTTATAAAATTTTTTTAAAGTATTCAGTAAAACAATTTATTTTTTAATTTTTAAGATATCTATAAATACTCTAATTTATAAGATGATCCACCTATAATTGCTCTGCTTAAAAGGTTAAAAAGCTCATCCATAATAAGTTCACATACAAGTCAAGCCGAATTTTCACTTGTTTAATTTTAACTCAGTTAAAAATGCATCAACTTATACATAAACAAGTCCTTAATGAGTTTCAAAACACGTGTTCAAACTCAGTTCAATTATTTTTATCGAATTTAGTCCAACACAAACAAACTCTTGATTTAAATCTCAATGAATGGATTTAATTTTTGTTATAGCCCACAATCAATTAGTAGATTGGCTTGTTGGTTTCTAAACTTTTACCATTGATTTATCCATAAATCAGTGGCAAAGGAAACTTATTTATAGAATTTACCATTTCTTGTCTTGACTGTTGTGCCGATTGTGAGATTGATTAAAAATAAATTTATATTCTTTTAAACTTCTACGTTCAAACTTTTTATCATCTTTTAAATATATAAAAAGAGTTTTTTTAATAATATTTTTCGAAAATTAAAGGGATTTTTAATCTATCTTATATATAATTTTTAATGATATAAATTTTATAGGATAATTTATAAATTAATAAAAATATTATATTTTAAAATAATAAACTTTTAATATTTTAAATAAATTATAATCAAATTTATTTATAAACATTAAATAAATTAAAACTAATGATGATGAGTACACATATTCTAATCATTTAATAAATAAATATATAATAATTTATATTAAAATTAATAAATAAATATAAACAAAAAAAATCAATCGTATTCATAAATATTTTATCAAAAAATCTATCCATTCACTTTTTTAATTTCATAATTCAAGGAACTGTAATCAATGTTTAAAAAAGATGTACTTCCGACGGATAACTCTCATTTTCACCCTTGACAAATATCCTACACCCCACGCCCACCCACCCACACAAACACTCACTCTAGATCAACCATCACCAAATTATTATTATTATTATTATTATTAAAAAATAATAATAAGCCCCACAATTAATCACTAACAGTAATAAATAAAAAAACAATTTAATTAAACTTTAATTTTAATACTTTTAAGCACCGATTGGCAAAATCTTAACTAGTCTATACTTTTTTTTTTCATTTCGAAAAATAAACAAATTTACATCCAGCCCCTCAACGAGTCCAAAATATATTACAAAAGTCTACGTCCTTTCTTTTGTTTTTCTTTTTTTTTTTTTTCTAATCTAGCGTTTGTTTATCATGTTGACTCGAAGACTAGTCCTAAGCCAGATGCCACGTTATCATGCATAGCGGGTTGAGAGTGGCGGTGCTCTCCTTCGTAAGTTACAATCAACATGGACGGTTCATCCAAGGCTCGCTCCACGTGTTTCCTTGCAGGACACCCTCTGATGGTACTGCACTTGTAATATCCACTGAAATATTCGAAACAAAAACTAGAATAAAAAACGAATCCTACTAGAAATATCGACGAGGTTGAAGATTCAATAGGAATTTAGTTGTTACCGTGGGTATGGTGAACCCTTTATGGGCTTTTGCCCGTACTTTCTCCAAGAATAGTCGTCTGGAGGAATATCGGCGATCTTCGAACTGATCGCTGGAACCCTGATTACTTTCTTCATACGATTTTTTCTGCAATATTAAGAACAAACAAAGGCCTTAAGCAAAATCGCTCCAATTTATACTTAAATGATTATTAATTAAAAATAAGTGGACTTCCATCAAAATAAATAATCAATAAAAAAATAAAGCGCATCGAAACCTATCATGCACCATAAGTGCTATCATGGGCAGTTTGCGTGTTTTGTCGTCTATCTTCATCCCAGAGGAAAAGCCTCGAAAGTACTTAAACGAAGACAAAACTCTTACAACACATCGTTCAAGAATTTGATGCCCCTCTCTGACTAAAACATAGCTTTTTGTTATAATCACGCCTGCCCTATCATTTAATACCTAAACTGTTCAACAGCCCCCAACAATGACCTAGAACTCGTCACAATCCAGACGAATCCAGCGAAACTCAGAAATTTTACTCCTGACTCAGCCGATTTTAATGAAACTCGACTAAAATTATTTTGATGACTCACAAAGCCAGCTCAATCATCAACTTTATACAACCTTAATCAAAAGCCAAAACTGACTGCCAAAATTCGCAATAGGTTAAGAAAACTAAAAAATAAGTAATATTACCTTCGCTTCGAGCAATGGCACTTGCCGATGCCGGAGCCGGAGACGTCTTCAGAGTGGTCATGTTCGTGGCACCTCTTCTTGTGTGGAGCCGATGAGAGCGGTGGTTTTCCAGCCGAAATGGCCGGTGCCGGCGTCAAGAATAGAGACGATCCTTGCTTTCCATTGGAAACACTCCCGTCTCCGGTGATGGCAGAAGACATAAACGAAGAGTTCGACGAAACGCTGAAGTTTTCTTTTGTAAACTCCAACTCAGTAATTTTAGCATTAGAGCTAAACAAATTAGGTTTTGAAAAGTCGAGCGTCAAACTCTGTGGTTGCGATTGAACGAAACTAGCAGGAGTGATAACCGGAGATGCGAGCCGCGCCGGACTTATGGTCGCTGGTGTTGTAATTGGAGCCGGAGTTAGACTTACAGTCTTCTGAGAATTAGGAACGGTTAGAGATGCGGAGGATGATGATGGGGAAGACGAGGAAGATGAGGACAGAATCGGCCCGCGTCTGAACCTTGCGTGACCAGTTCTGTTGAGTAGTGAAATGACTTTTTTGAACTTAGAGACGGTGTGATCGGCGAGGTCCGTGCAGTCGACGTGGTTTGACTGGGGAGAAAGGAGGCGGATCAGGTGCTCCATGCTCTTCAATCCCTGTGATGCAGCATTTTGTATGGCCATCTGATCATCCATCTTTGGAAAACTCATCAGCTTCGCCGCCATTTTCAGAAACCAACGACGAAAACACACGGAAACAAAGCGCGCAGGGGAGATGGCTTGAGAGCTCAACAAGACATTGAAGCCTGGTGCAAGAGAAGCGTTGAGGATGAAGAGGGAAGAGTAAGGGGAAGTGCGCGAGCAAGGGGGTGATATAAGGGTTAAATGGTGACCGGATGACCGGGTAAGAAATTGGGTGGGAGTCAAAGTGGAGTTTTGATCCAACGGCTACGTTTAGTTTGAAGATTTCTAATGGAAGATGGTTGAATAAACAAATGGACGCGGGGGATTTGTATTTTGAAGTTGTTGGTGGTGGGCCCCAACACAAGAGAATATGAGGTAAAATTTTGTTTTTGGTCCCAGGGAGTAATTGAGGGGTTTTGAAATTTCGTGGAAGGTTGCAGAAAAAGAATTAACTTATTAACAACGTTGACGAGACCAGAACAAACGACTCACACGCTTCCTCTCTCTCTCTCTCTCTCTCTCTCTCGGTTACAAATCACAAGTCAGAAACGACACAGTGATTAATGTTGCTTTAGTCTTTATTAGAGCTTTCCCATTTTTCTTTCTGTGAATGCTTATTTTTTAAGGCAAGTGGTTTTATTGAAAATAATTAAATTTGTGACTCTTTTATTGGGAAGTCAAATTTTCTTTTCAACTCAAATGGCTACTTTTTGAATTTTGACTTTAACGCTAATTATCTTCGGAACTAAAATGAATGACAAAAAGTAAATCATGTGAGGTGCATTACGATAAAATTGAATGAATTTTGCCAAATTTCATCAAATAAATACGTTTAAATTCTGTCCTCTTAAGATAGAAAGAAAGATGACTAAAGTGGGAATCACGTGGAGTCATTTTGCATTTTTTTTTTTTAATCTCAAACTGTTGACGAACTTTTCATTTTTTATGGTGCCGGGTGATGCCGGCATCTCTTTCCTGAACCGTTTGATTACCTTGCTAATCCAACGGTTGTTTAGCACATCAAAGAGTTGACTATGACATTATTAATTTTCAAACTCACGTGGTAATATGGGATATGTTTTAATGAGTCCTGAAAGTTAGCGGGTGCCAATTGAAGAAGTGGAAAGTGAAGAAAGTCTGTCACTGTTCTTTTGAAACTGTTTTTTCATTATTGCCTGTAGCTATTAAGTATAATAATATATATTTATTTTACAAATTTTCCTGCAAAATGCATCATAAAAATTTAAAATTTAATTTTAGTAAGGCTTTCTTTTCCAATAACAACTTCTTGTTGTTGAAATCAAATTGAAGATAAAGATTAACAGTATAAAATTATTTGGTCGAGTTGTTGGGGTTGGGCGATGCAAAAGGAAATCATCATACTTATCTTGCTTTTGATTAACAGTGCCAGCCAAATGACCAATAAATCAAACAGCTTTCCGGTCAACTTTTGACTTTTGTTTCATCGCTTTTTTCTCTCTCCCACTTTCCTTTGTCAATGTCCGCTATCGAAATCGTGGTGCTAGTAGTGTTGTTCTATAAGTCAATACTGTTATTTTAAAAAGGATTTCAAATTATGCAGGGTCCAATTCTCAAAAAAGAATGGGTTATTTGAATTTTTAAAATTTTTAATATAATATTTAAATTATAAATATATTAATTAATATAATAATATTAATTAATAAATTTATAATTTAAGTATTTAAATTTAATTTTTTAATTTATATATTATATTAAATATTTAATTATAATTTATAAATCATCTATGATATTAATTACATTATATGTTAACACGTAATACATTCTTATTATGTTAAAATTAAAATCTTTCATCTATTTTGAAATAAAAATAAATTTATTAATATATCATATATGATTTATTAATAAAAAATTTACATTTTTTATCAATAATTAAAATTCATATCTTATAATTTTATATACATAAAAAACTATATTATATATTTTTATGAATTATATGCAATGTCGACTCTAAAAAATCATAACTTAAAACTTAGTAGTACTAATATTTGACGTCTTCGTCTAGGAAACAAAAGGGCAAGAAGTTTTAAATGCTTGGCACGTACAACTTCGATTTAATTAAATTGATTCAAAAGTCATCACTATCTCTGATGATATATATATATATTAATTTTTAATTTAATTTAACGTATGATAATAAATACATAAAAAACAATAATTATATATTATAATATTTTTATAAGGCTTAAACTTTTGAAGTGATTCGTGCGAAGATTTTATTGTTCTAAACATGATATGGTCAACGAAAAATGCGATTCTCCAATACTTTGATTGCTTATATAATTGGGGAATGGTTGTTTTATACTTAGTGGGAATAAATTAATAGCATTCATTTGTCAACTTGTTCCATATTCATCTTAAGAAAACTTATGAGACAGATGCTTTTTTTTTTTTGGTTGTTTATAATAATATTAACACGTTTGAATTTAAAGGATAATAATTTTATAATAATACAAAGTTTAAACAACATTTTGGTTGACTCAATCTTGTGAACTTCAAAATAAGAAAAACATTATTAAAGAAAAATAAGAAATCCCTATTGGCTATCCGATTTCGACTAAAATTAAATATTTTCAGTCAAAAGTCTTTCATTCAAATATATAAAATATGCGAAACCCATGTGTTTTAGACTTTGAAATTTGTATGTATTGATGATTTCTATAAAACTTAATTAACATTATTATTTCCTATTTCCAAACCACAATTGAGGGATAGATTATTGTGCAAAATTTTTAATAACAAAGCCCCACGACTTTGCTTTAGATTATTATTAATATACCACCATTGTAAATTCTAATTACATGGGTCTACATATACTGGTGTTAACTAGCTTAATACGTGAACAAGATTGCTAAAATATTAAATAAGCCTCTTTACTTAAATTTATTATAAGAGTCCTTATTCTTTTGTTACTATCAATTAAATCTTAAATTAATTATTTACAATTAATTGAGTTTTTATTCTAGTTTGACTTTGATTAAATTAATATTGATACGATAAAAAATGAAATATAAAACATTTGTTGGTGTCACTAAGCAACATTGTAGAGGATTTGGTTGAAGATTTGATTCCTTGATGTGAATCCGAACAGATTTGCCAGTGAAACAATAACCGGAATCATGTTCCTTCCATTTTAAATATTAATCCATATGCTTTAATTTTTTATGGGCTACTAATTTTTGATATATTCTCTCACTTTTTTATTCTTTTCAAGTCATAATTAGATATCTTTTGTTCTATGAATTATAAAATTAACAAAATTTTCTTCTACATTTTTTTTTCATCGTTTCCATCAAAAATTGAAAGAGCCCAAAAAGCAGACTTAAGTTAGGTAGATCTTTATTGGCCACCATTAGCCCTGACAATTTCATTGATTATTGTACGGTGAACATACTTTTCCCCTTTTTTTTTTTCTCGTCATGTTTAACTCGTTTTTCAAAGAGTACTGAGTTGTGATTTCTGACTTTAACTTAAGGGAAAGCGATTGTTTTGTCTGATAAAATTAAGGGTGGTCGCTATTCACATGGCGTTCACCAGGGAAATATAAAACGATTTGGTTGGGGGGGCGGGAGTTTTGGTTGCTGGGAAATTTTAATCGCGGCTACTTTTTAGGTTGAATTGAACCGCTTTAAATAAATTTAATAAAAGAGTTAAAAGATGAAAGATGCTTTCACTTTTATAATAAAGAATAATTCGGAGACCATGTCTGACAGAATTTGATTCCTTTACGTATGTTCACGAAAGTTACTTGGGGTGGGCGTTTCGAGCACGTTCTCGAAGCAAATGGTCATTGCTTGATTCCAAAGGCTTAAATTTAAAGGAATGTTAGCAATTTGCGTATTATTCTCATATTGTTTCAACGAGGTGGGCATATTAGTCTACACATATTGCACGCGTGCTTTTTGGGATTTTGCCTTGACTATCACTTTCTTATTATATCTGTGACATTATTGTCAACTTACAAACAAGATGGGGCTTCCTATCTAATGCTTGATGGGCCCCGCCCAAAGTTGCACCGGCTTTTATGGGTATGGTGTTCACACTTCGGGATCAAAACCCTTTAAAAGACGAAAGTGGACTCCGTAAAAAATATGGATATTGACTCTCCTGGGCCACTGCCCATTGGCTATGGGCGCACGCGCATCTCCGGAATTACCATGTCGGCCTGGGTTTCTTTTCACGTAAAATAAAATCCAAACATAACCGTGGGGCGTTTTGGATTATAGAGCAAGCTAGCAGTGAAACCTGTCAACTACACAGGATTGTGAAGTATGCGTTAGACATAAGTGAAAAAAACATGCGCCAAACTTTCTTCAAAAAAAAAGCAAATTTTGGCACCAAACTCTGTCTTCAACCATGATTTTTCATTGAGGGCTGGAACTCTCTAGTGCATGCTTATTTATAGTTCACCAGCAGAGAAGAAACTCTCAAGAATACTTTGCATGAGATGGAAGCCCAATTAAATTTGCTTGAAGGTGAGGGAGATGTGGGTCAGGCCGCGAGCTTGAACTCTGAAATTGTGGAAGTTGAACCTGTGGTAAGTTATTTGATATGTTCGCAAGTTTCTTTAACTGCAGATGGGCAGTTAGGACCTCTTTCAAAGCCTGTGATAGGGAAAACTGTGATGTGAGCAAGGAAAACCTAAGTTTTATTTTGGAAATTTTCCGTTTCCTCATTTCTTTGTTTTCTGATCAAAGTTTCCTCATTTCATTCTAAAAGGTAGAAAGTCTTGGCTGGGTTTATCACGCACGCATAGATGCATGAATAGGGCTATAGAAGCAAAACCTATACAGCAAATATATCTGCATTTACATGTATAGTATCTTTTGCTTATAATTTGGATTGCTACTTAAACAAATGATGATGATTTTAAAGTTGATAGCTAGGTACTTTCATCCTATCTGTTCACAAGAATAAGTTATACCTTTTGCAGCATCAAAAGCAAAAATTTTTATTTAGTCTAGTTTGCTGAACGTTTGTGTAGATGAACAAGTGGGTAGTAGCAGGGATCTCCACGGCATCCCATCCCAAGTTCGTAGTTTGTGTAAAGTAAATAACGATCAAGTTGCTATTGCTATAGATGTGTATAATGGTAGTAATAGTAAATTAGAAGATGAAGATAAGGTTATTCTTTACTGATTTTTAAAAATTATTTGATCATTAATTACTTATTTCTGCTTTAATTGAAGATAACTTCTATCTAAAAGCGCACAAGTACTTACATTTTAATTCATTTATTTCCTCAGTTCGTGGTTTCGAATCACTTACCACATCAAGAATTGTTCCAAGGTTTACAAGACCTATAACATATATAATAGTAGATCACTTACGTTTGTGTTGATTTGAAGTACTGCAAATTTCGTTTGGGCTGAGATTTAATTAATTAATTAAGTTCTTTATTTATTTAAGCACCAAAAGTAGCCTTTTTATCTAAGTAACTATGTTACGTTTACATAATCAACCAGGGTGTCTTGTGATAGGGCAGTCATGCAACAAACTGCCTTACAGTTTGGCATCATAATCTATTGGGCTGTAGTACTGCATGCGCTGTTGACAGCTTTTGTATTATGACAAGCCAATCTGGTTAGCGGCCATTTTCTCAGATGTGGTTATTTCATACCGTTCCATATCATGCTTAGTGAACATGTTTATCTTTATCCTTGTTTTTTCACTCTGCTTTTTAGAGTTATGCATCTGCATTCTATTTGAAACTAGCATGATTCTAATTTTCCATGGATTGCATTTCATAGATTCTTTTGTCTTTTATACTAACTCCTTTCCTTTTTCCTCTTATCCTTGCTTCATTTCATAATCCAATTTCTGTCTTGTTTCTTACAAGCCATGCTTCTCGTACTTGAGTTTATGGTCTTGCAAGGAGTGCCAACCATGATTTTGCCTTCAAAATTCAAATGTATTCTAAGCTCCATAATCATTTTTTTCCTTTCTAAACATGGTCCATTTATTCATTATTTAGCTCAACCAGGCAACTTTAATTTGCCCTTTTTTTTTGTATGCATATCAGATTGCTTGGTTATGTCCAATAAGGAAAAATCTTTGTTACAATTATGCAGGACATAGATTGAGGATTGTTCACTTTGAACCAGCCAAAGGTTGTATGATGCTTACTGTAGTTAAAAGATGTCTACAAGCAAAAGTTTGTTAGTTATACACAAACAGGAATGCTGCATTTTGAATTGAATGGTGTTCTATATTGTACATTTGCAGCAGATTTGAGTTAAATTTTGTGCCTTTCTAACCTTATTTTCCACTCCTCTCTCTCTCTCTCTCTCTCCCCCCACCACTTTTTCTTCTCTTCTCTTTCTCTGTTTTGTTGGCTTAATCCTGAAGTTCTCCTTTGAATCTTTAGTGTTTTTGTGGTGTTCGTCAAATCGAAGATAGTCTAACTTGAACTTGTGTCGTACAACTTTTCAACATGCAAAAACTCCGCTATGCTACATATTCTGTATGTTTGCTGAAGATAAAAAGGGTGGAAAATGAAGCATTTGAGCGGGGACTAGGGAGTTGGTATTTGTGCTGAACTGATGAAAAGCTGATTCATAAATTAGACGAGGCTGAGACAGAGATATTACTAATGCTGCACGCAACATAGACCGGCTACAGATCAAAACGCAAAGTAAAAGTTTTTATTCATTTTTTTTATGGACTCTCACGCCAACCTCGCAAAGCGGAAAGCCTTGTGTAGGGTTTGTCCTTTTTATTCGAAAGAAGGAAGATTTGGAAAATGAACACACAATCAGTAGAAATTGGTTTTGGTTGTGTCAGAGTACACTTGTTGATGGCCCAACTTGATCTTCCGAGTCTTTAATGTTCCCTCTGGGATTCTCCTCAAATCTTGCTATCCTAAAGTGCTGTAGCTCAACTCCTTTTGCCTGTCCAGTAAGCACCAGATCAGCCAGTATCCTCCCAATCGCCGGAGACATCTTGAAGCCATGACCAGAAAACCCACCACCAATCACAACATCCTTCCCAAACTCCCCTCCCAGAAATCAATCACAAAATCTTCGTCCGGGGTCATCGAGTACACGCACAATTGAGTTGAAGCAGGTCCACTTGAATCAATCAACCCTCTAAATGTCTCCTCAATCCATTGGTTCAAGGAGCTCGGATTGACTCCAGGTCCCCATGGCCTTTTATCCGGGTCACACGGATAACCCTCATCCACTGCAATTTTAATCAGCCCCGGGAACTCCAACGATGGTGTGCCATATATATGTGGCTTCCCGTAGCTAGAGAATGTTGGAAAATCACTTCCAATTGCATACTTACCCTCATGACCATCCTTAATCCTCCAATAACACACACTGGTTTCCAAAGGTTGAATGGGCAGTTCAATCCCACTAACTGTTTTAACTAACTTTCTCATCCAAGGCCCTGCGGTCACCACACATTTTTTAGCCCAAAACTTTTCACCATTGCTTACACTCACTATTACCCCGCCTCTCACTCCATCTCTGATTATTTTATTCACTTCCACGTTGTCTCTGAGGACCGCACCATTCTTAAACGCTAGCATTTGGAACATTGACACTGCCTTGGTGGGCTTTATAACACCACCATGCTCGCAACACACTCCAATCCACTCCTCCGGTATGTCAATCCTCCCGGAAAATCTTTCCGTCACTTGCTGGCGGTTGAGGACCTGATGTGGCGTGGCATGCTTCTGACAATTGGCGATGACAGAGAGAAGGCTCTTGGCATTGGCTGGGCCCATGACGAACTGTTGGGCCTTGAAGTAGACCCTGAAGCCAATCTCGGACTGGGTCTGCTCCCACATCTGATAGGACTCACTGACCAAGCCATGGTAGTAGTCCTTGGTGTATGTTGCTCGTATGGTGCGGGACTCGCCATGAGAAGAACCCCGGTGATGCAGAAAATCGAACTGCTCTAGAAGCAAGGTTTTCTGCCCTCTTTTGGCTAGTTGGTACGCCGTTGAGCTCCCCATGACGCCCGCTCCAACTACAATTACATCAAATTCATCATCGGAATATCCCATTTCTGGCTCTCTGTTTCTTTAGCGATCGATAAAAGGGGCTTCAGCAGTTGCTTTCAGCTTGTTGGATATTACTAGTGGGTATTTAAGATGAGATTCTAATATAAAAAACCAGGCTTTGGCCGGAAATTTCATTATTGCCTTTGATGTTTGTTTCTTCCTGATATGGTTAAAATTGACGCAATGCATTTCGTAATGCACGGGGAAAGATACCTTCCCTCCACTATACAGCCGAGTAAAATAATCAAAATTAATATTTTGTTGATGATGACATTGTTGGTTCATGAATCAATGGTTTATATCCCAAAATGACCATATTCTTTGCCTATAAAGCAAATACTGTTTAAAAAGTGAGGATATTTTTGTCATGTAATTAAAGCCTTTTCTTTTTTAGCTCAAATGACAGCCGTCAGATTAGCAAATTAATTAAGATATATATATATATATATATATATATATAGAGGATGATAGGAACTAGGAAAGAGTGTGTGGTGTAATTAGTACTTTATATCAGCGTTGAAGCCAAATATTATTTTTCTGCTTAGTCTTTGCCAATCACCAAGATTACTGCATTATTACGCTATTTTTTTCAAATAAGTAAGATTGGTTTGAACAAGTTTTTTTTCCTCTCAAGTTTTAAATAAAAGTAAGATAGATTACATGTGTTGGATTATTGATTAGAAAATGCTTTCTTTTAGTTCACGACTAGGTATAACATCAGTAAATAATGGAAGGTGTTTTTTGAATTTCTGATCAACGTGTAAATCTAATCCTTTAGGCTTAGATATGCAATTCAGATAGGTTTTTATTCATTATAATAATAAAGTGTTAAGACTTTGCTTTTACCCAGACAATTGGCGATTTCCTTTTGCTTTTTGAAAGTGTGAGGTTGGTTTAGTTTTGGCGTATCAACTCTAACCATTGTTTGGCCAGCAGGAAATTTTGACTAGTCCCGTTAGTATTGGGATTTCTTTATATACTTGTAAATTAACAAGGTCTAATTTGGTGCCTAGTGCATCACAATTCACGTGTATATGTTTTAAGTTCTGCAACGTACTGACTGCTCATGTATCAATCATCATCCAGGACAAATGAATATCCCATCGCCGACTCATGACTGACAAAGAGATACCGACAAAAGATCGAGTCATCCTTCATTACTTATATTTGCAGCACCAGATCCTCCCGCTGGCAATGGAAACGTGTTGCAAGCTGGGATTGCCTTTTTCATTTTCCTTTTTTCCTTTTCCTTTAGGATATTCTATCAGCCTTTTTGGGTTTTCGATCGATTCATGTTGGGTCGAAGCTATGGCCGCATCATACAGAGAAGTGCCGTGGCGACTACAATAAGTGAACTGATTCATTATTTGTTTTGATGACGATGTTAAAATTGTCCGCTTGCATTTAGCTCAAACGAATATTAAAGGTGAAAAATCTCAACTTGCACAAACTATGTTTATATTTTTTTTTTGGAAAAGAAATTATATTATATTTAAGATAAAAAAATTATTTGGTTTATTGCACATTATAGGTTGTTCTTGAACACTTCAATTCGGCCTTTGTAACCAGCCCACTTTTGTTAAAAGAATATCGCATTTAATCCCTTTTTCTGCTTAATTACTGAAAGCATGAAAAAATGATTACTTAGAGATAAGTATTTTAGGATTAAGTTAATCTTATTTCATAGTTTAAGTGAAATATGTGAATTATTTTTTTGTAAAGAGAATTTGAAGCCATGAAGGGGAAAATGGCTACACGGTAAGGGGATTTAATCTGAAGCCAGCCACTCATTGCATATAAACTAACAAACACATCCCACGGTACCATTCGGTTCTCAATCTATTACAAAGACACACTATCAAAGTTAACGACCACGTACCATGGTATTGGAGGTTATAGAACAACATAAGCTTCTATTTCTTTCGTGGAACATTAATAAAATAAAAAACATAAAGCTTCATATACATTAACTGGATTAATATTCAAGGCATTTAAAACCAGTGGTATGTCACTGATCTGTCAGATCTTTTGTAAATGGATATACACACCATGTTCAGGTTCCACAAGCATCCTGAAAGAAGGAGAATGTCGATAACTTGGGGATAGAGAAAAAGTAAACCTGGAGACTATAAGGGATAGAAGCACCTTCAATTCAACCATTGCAAAGTTTTTACCCAAGCACAAGCGAGTGCCTAAACCAAATGGGATATAGCCTTGGGGGGATTTGCAAGCTTTGGAGACACCATTGATGAATCTCTCAGGTTTGAACTCGTTGGCATCTGGTCCCCATATATCAGGATCCCGGTGCAAAGTTGGAATTACAGTCCAAATGCATACCCCTTTCGGAACCATAATGTTTCCAATTCGAGTCTCTTGGAGTGCCTCCCTTGACACAAATGCTGCTGCTGGGTAAAGACGCATGGTTTCTTGAATCACCATAGTCACCTGGAAGGAATAAAATCACATTTTTACAACTTATGTGGTGATGAACTTGTAGGAAAACAATAGAATATTGTGGATCAGCATGTATACCGTTTTCAATCGAGAAATTGAGTCAGCATCGGGCAGGCCATTCTTGCAAACTTGAGCCACCTCCGCTTGAATACGAGCTTGCCACTCTGGATGCAGAGCGAGTAGCATCAAACACCAGGAGGCAGTGACGGCAGTTGTTTCATAACCAGCGAAGTATATGTTCTTGCAATTATCGACTATAAACTGCTGAGGCGAAGCCTCGCCTACGGTGGCTTCATTCACAGCACCCTCTAATATTAGCTGCATTAAATCTTTTCGACACGAAGATGTGTCTAAGCGTTCCTGTTGGCGTCCTTTGACTGTCTCCCAGATCAATAATTCTACCTCTCTTTCTAAGGTGCTGATCTTCTTCTTGTTAGGAAGAAATCTACCAATTCATTATATATTTTAGCTAGTATCGATATATAAATATGATGTAACTTTATCCAATATTCTTTAACAAAAAGAAAAAAGTCATGGTTGTGGAAGTATAGATTGAAATATGATACCTTGAATTATTGAGGCCAAAAAGAAAGCCTTGCTTTGTAATGGTGGTTTGAATAGTCCTAAGCTTGGAGAAAATCTCTTTGCCTTTATCATAAGAGCTCCCAAGACATGCCCTTGCAATAACATCCGCTGAAACGCTCCTCAAATCCCTATCCACATTAATTTCTGCTGGGAAACCGCCTTTTGCTTCAATCATTGCTTCCCATTTTTTTAGCAATGGCTCTGTTGATTCCACCATGAGTCCCACCATGCCCTGAGAGATTAATATATGAAATACTAGTTTGTATGCTTTGCCTTCTTGTAATATCTGTATTCAACTTTTGGACTATTGATTAATTAAAGCCATACATACATTAACAAAGTTGTAAACAATTACCTTAACCTTGTCCATGAAGAACTGTGGCGCAATGATATTCCTTTGATGGGCCCAAAAATGGCCGTTGGCTCTTATGATGCCATTGCCGAGCATGGATTTAAGTGCCTTGGTCATATAAGGAGCCTTGCCCAAATGCAAAGTGTTTAACTGGTTCATTTCCTTCACTACCTCAAGGTCGTTCACATACAGGTGTTGCCTAAGCCCCGTTGAATATGTGTATATCACACCTGCGTTATAATTTCAACTGTTCATTGAGAAGAGTAAGAACACCCTACGCATAAATTAAAGCTATAGAGCTTTTACCTTGCATTGCTCCATTTTCTTTTATACTATTTGGTAAATAAATATAATAACTTTGCAAAGATTCATTTGCTTAAATCAAATTGGGTTGGGTTTTCACTTTTTAGCGTTGTTTTTCCAAATCCAATTATCGAGAATCATCTTGATCTTAGGCTTTGGTAACCATGAAAATGGCTTTCCGAACCCAAACTATTTCTCCATAATCAGCAGCCATGAAACACAAAGGTCTGCCATGATTCTTCACCTTCCCTTTTCAAAAATGAAATGTTGTTATCATTAATTATATTCTACCAATCCCTAAAATAGTTCCATATATAAAAAACTTCACTTTTATAAAGTGCTACTCAGTAGTTATATTTCATTTCTTAATTTAATTACTAATAAAATGAGGTATCACGTTTAGATTTAGACGTTATTATCACTTCTATAGAAAGGTAGAGTTCATTACGCTAGCTAGCTACTTATATTCATGTATTGGAATCTTTCGATGTGAGATATGCTGCTATATGCCAAAAAATATAAAAGTTAACTAAATAATTGTAGTAATTAATTCATATATCATATATCTAGTGTATTTTAGCATACAATTATTATGTTTTTTCAGATTAAAAGTATTATTGTGAGTCATTTTCAAAAAAAAAAAAAAACAGTATTATTGTGTCATTGTCATCAGACTCACCACCACGTATATATTGTAGTACAAATATTCATTTTTAATAAAAAAGATATAGTTTATTTTAATGAACTCTATATAAATGTTATATATAAATAAAAAAAAAGGTTTAAATTATCTCATGAAAAGTCAAGAGCAAATTGCTGCTTTGAGTATAGTTTACGTCGTGGCCTCCTGGAAATGGGGCCATCATCTCCTTGCGCCTGTTGGTAGTCAAAATCAATAATTTGGCCCAAATTCTCATTTCTAAATGCCTTCACTGCCCCCACCACACCTCTATATTTTTCAATCTATGATTTTCATTAATTAGTTTATGTTTTGAGCTTTTTTTTTTTTTTTTAATTTGTTCATGTCAATAATTCACAATTTGGAAAAAAGAAAAAAGAAGATAGCTTTCAAAATGAAGAGACATAATCAGCTATCTCTGTATGCTATAAGATTGTTGCTTTCACTTCAGAGTCTCTTCTGAATATTACAAAAGGGAAAGAAGAAGAAAACAAAAGGAGATTACGGCTTGTTTTTTGTTTTGAGCCACAATGGTACGTTTGGCACCTAGTCATGGTGACTTTTCGTAAGAATGCAAAACTTTCAAACATTTGCCAAAATGCACCCTTTCGGTTGCAACAGAAAGGCTCTATCACGCTGGAAAAAAATGCATTTCCAATTTTTTCAAATCGTTTTCTCAATGAAAATGTAGTTTTTTCTTCCTTGACTGACAGTTGATCTTACTAGTAATTGTTGTACTGCATCAACACATATCCATATGCAAGACTGATAGTGTATATATTTACATGTACGTATATTTGTTGAAGATAGAAATGAAAGCTTAATGGCTCTTACCGTATTCTTTTCTCCAATGATCAAAAAATGGAAAGATGGTGGAAGTATAGTCATGGGCAACAATTTCAGTCTGACTCCGAGCCTTCCTTGCCTTTAATTGGATTTGCTGCATCTCGGGTACATTTCCATAGAGAAAGGAAGGAGGTGGTCCTTTGATGCCTTGCATACGGAGCTTCCTTCTAAGCCTTTGAGACTTGAGCCAGCTTGTGATGTAGGCGTGAAAGATGTAGAAAACCACTCCTGCAAGGGCTAGCGAAGAAATGGTTCTCAAGACGAGAAGAAGGAACTCCATTTCTTCCGACTCTCAAATTCTCTGTCTTTAAGTTTTTGAACCACACAACTTGTTTAATTTATTTATGTACTACATATTTATGATTCACTAGATTATTTTATAGGAAGGGGGAGATCCAGGTGTCATTAATGCGAAGAGATTGGCCTTAAGCAAGTAGATAATAACCTACAAACTGATAGGGACTGGTGGACCAGCATGATGTGAAGTGTGCGTGTACATGATGCTACTCAATTCTTCAAACATCCAATGAAAAATGATTGGAGGCTAAAATCTTAATCAGAAACTTAGAAGCTGTTATTGGATTTGGCAATATATATTAATTATATAAGAGATATATAAGCAATTAATTAAACCCAATTATAATAGAGTGATCAACTATATATGGTCTATATATATATATATATTGCTTCTATATGAAAAAAAAGGGAAGTATAAATTTATATACAGCAATCAAAGTTAATGAATTCATATCCCTTGTATTTAATTCACTATTAACTACTGATCTTTATGGTTGACTTGTACATTTCTTGAACAAGTTCACATGCATAGCTTTGAAAATAAAGATCACAAAAAATATGCAGGCTTCAATCTCTAAGCTCAGTTTAAGAAGAAGACCCTGAGAAGTACCGGTTATCAAAAGAAAATTAATAATATTATGTCGCGGTATTCCATGCTTGAAATTTGTATAAATAGTTGAAGTTGGGGGTATTGTAGAGGAGATTAAATTATTGGCAAGGACTGAGGAAATTATAGCAATATACTGTAATTTCCACCCTTTCTTTCGCTAATTTGCCTCGTTCGGTGAGCATTATTGTTCAGTCACGTGGCAAACCTGACTCAACATTTCTAGTTCCATTCGTTTGTAGTAGCCTACCATGCAACCAAATATCATGCCGCACAAACAGGCTTCGAGGGAGCTCCCCCACTTTCACTTTGTACGCTTCATAAACCTGCTTTAGCAGCTGATCATTCGGAAAAATGATTAAACATTGGAATATCAAGTGCGTTACATGAACATTTCATTGTCAAATGCTCAAGACGCTGGCACTGGAACCTTCTATATGTCTCCACTACACACGTAAACATGAATTAATAATTAATCTCATTTTTGTTTATTAGGTAATCATTTATTGGTCCTAGTTTTTTGCAGCTTCTGCTTGCTACGGTTATGAGGAGCAGGGAGCCATGATTGCTTGCAACAGCAAGTGATGGAATCTGGAATGACGGCGGGGCTTGTGGGCAAACTTACATACCAAGTCACTTGTATTAGCAAGGAAGGAACCCTATATCATTCCTGAGGAAGTGTAACAGTGTAGGTAATTAAATGTAGAGGAACCATGCATTGACTTGTCACAAGAGGCATTAGCCTCTATTGCAGATTCTGATTCTGGGGTTATAAATATCTCTTATCAACAGAACGTACCGCACATATATTCATTCTAATCATCATGTCTATAAATAAATTCCAAAATTCCTTTTGCTCTTTATTTTCCAACTATTTTTATTTACATATATATAGTATATATAGTTGTTTCCATATCTAATTTTCAGACTTTTTTTTTGACAGGATCTAAATAAAAGGTACACTAAACTTTCAACAGAGTTTACTGAAAGTAGACTTTGAGCGGTATGGTTCGAGTTATATAACAATTATAAATGCAACATTTGTGAATAAAATTAAAATACTAATTAATTAGTACCACATTTTTGTTCCCCATTTCAATTTTGGTATTGTATCCACCAATATTGCAAGTGGGCAAAGAAATTAGCACTCATTCCTCAACTTGTTGTGAAAGCGTAATTTTCATGGGAATTAATTATTTGAGAATGATGAATAAGATCCCGGTTCCAGAAACATCAAAGAAAACGCTAGCTGTTTACACGCAAATATCAAAGTGGTGGGCACCCATAGTTGAAGCTGACGGAGCCTTAATAATTACACTTGGAAAATGAAAACGTTATTCTGTTAGGGTAAAACCTAAGTAAAAAAAAATTACTCCACCTAATAATAATATCCAAAAAAAAAACACTTAACAATTGCTTTTAAAGTAACACAATTTTTTTAGTTAGTAGATACAGAATAGTGAAAATTGTCGAGTGAGTTAAATAAAGAAATAATGGGAGATGAAGAAGGGCCACGAGCCATGACCTAGATTAGGACCTTCCTTCCTTCCATTGCAGTAGTAATTAATAATATTAATGCTAGGTATTCATTAAGGATGGGCAATGGGGGTTGGGCCGTAGGAATAGTGCGATGGTTTCCTATCATATGGTTACACTTTGCTTTGCAAATGGTCCCTTCTTTTAAAATTGACAAAACTCGACTTGATAGCATTAGCAACTAACATCCGCTCAGGCTAAGAGGGAATACTTGACATTACAAACAGGCTGGATTAGAAAGAAGAGTAGGACTTAATTAAAGGAGGGGAAGGGTTTGTCTGAATAACAGAATAAGAGGCTGTAAATTTAACTGCCCCTTTTTTTCATCCAAGCAGCTAGTCGATGGAGCATTAGACGTTCCAATGTGGGTCAAGTCGTTGAGCATTTGGGCGTCAGGCCTGCTCTTTGATCAGCAACCCACCCACCCGCATAATCCAAAATGGACCCAATTGCTATTTCTATGGGCTTTACGGCTCAATACTATAAAACAGCTGAATTGGTTTTGTTTTTGGACAGAATTTGGAATAAAGACTGTTAAGCAAGGGCAATCTTGGAATACCGAAACTTCGTATGCCCTAGCTCTACCTCTAGCCAATGGGTGCTTCAATTTATTTTTTTTACTCTCCGCATTTTTTAAAAAAACTCTTTTTATATAAAATTACCGTAACCTTTTCCTAAACCAATTTTAAAAGTCTATGAATCCGTATATCCATAAAATTTATAATTTATTAAATATTTATATTTAGAAAATTTTAAAAAAATTATATTTAGAATTTAAGAAATAAAATTCAGTTGAAAAAAATAATCAGATAAATTTTAATAACATTACAAAAAAAATTTATTTCTAATAATTATAAGTTTGTTTACATATTAATGGATAAAAATTATGTATGTGAATTTTTTATTTTTTTATTTCAACGATATTGAAACAAAAATTTTAAAATATATTTATATACGCAAATTTAAAAAAACTTTTAAATGCTTCTGAAGTTATAAATTTAAAGGCTTTTACAAGCTTCTGAATTTATAAATCTAAAAATTTTAAAGTGAAAAAAATCTTTAAAAAATAATTAAGTAAATTTATTTAAATAAAAAATAAAAAAATGAGATGTAAATAAAAGCTTTAATTTTGGCGTTTATAAATATTTTTTTATCATCTATCTATATATAAACCAAAAGCCCTAACTCCCCCGAAAAACCAAAAGCGGAAGTCTTTACTCCTCTGCGTAACTCTTCATCAGGTTCAGATCTTTCTATCTCTCTCTTTTCACATTTCCTTTGTAAATTCGATTAGGTTCCAAATTGCTTTTACGTTCAATTTTGGTGGTCAATTTTTAATACAGATCTGCTTTCTTCTCTTTTCTATTTTATCAATTTTGATTTAATTTCTTTGTTTCTTTATTTTCTTACCACAACTTTTTTCCTTTTTTTTTTTTTTTTTTTAATTTTGAACTGAAACTTGAATAACGAAATACTTTTTTGATAGGTTTCTTTTGAAAACCCCTCCCTCCCCAAAAAAACATGTCTCGCGTATACGTTGGTAACCTTGGGCCACGAGTTTCGGAGCGGGATCTTGAAGACGAGTTTCGTGTCTTTGGAGTTATTCGAAGGTAGAATATTCTTATACCTTTTTTTTTATTCTTTTGAACTACTATATCATACACGATAATTGTCTGTAACTGTAACTGTAACGTGCACCTTTTGGGTATGATTTTGTTGTCATAATTCCTCCCAAACCCATTGTTGTCTTTTGATTTGCTAAATGTGCTCTTTTTTTTCTAGCGTATGGGTTGCACGAAGGCCACCGGGTTATGCTTTCATTGACTTTGATGATCACAGAGATGCTGAGGATGCAATTCGAGAATTAGATGGTATTCCAACCAGATCCCCTTATCTTTCGTAATGGCACTAGTTGAATCTTTAATATTATGTCTGGTTAGTTGTGTTTCCTTTCTCATTGGAAATGAAAGATGCCAAACTAACCTTTTTTGTTGAAAAAAAAAAAGGATAATGTCTTGTTTAGGCGCTTAGTTATCGGCTGTTTTTTGTTTGTTAATAGGAAAGATTTATGATGAGAATTGTTATTTTGGTATGCCTCTTGTAGTCTACTACTTCTGCCCATTGTTGCCATGTGTGCTAATACTATGGGCCATAGTTACATGGAACCCTCTATCTATTTTTAATTTACTCTCTAGTTGATTTTATTATCCTGTAAAGTCTGTTTTTGTGTTGTTTTTGACATTTTCCAGTTTAGTTTTATATATTAGTTCAAAGGTCTGTATAACTTGTTGGCAGGATCATAGTCTTTACCTCTTTCATCCATCTAACAGCAAGTTTCTGATTTCTTTTTCTTAATGGCATCTTTAGTGAACGTTAGTTTGTCATTTGAGATTCACATTCTACACCATGCTTTATAAATCATGTATTTGGATCAGGCAAGAATGGCTGGAGAGTTGAGCTTTCTCGTAATTCTAGAGGCAGAGGTGGACGCGGAGGCGGTAGTGGAGGTGGTCATGGGCGCTTTGGCGGTTCTGATTTGAAGTGCTATGAGTGTGGTGAGCCTGGTCATTTTGCTCGAGAATGCCGCATGCGTGGTGGTTCAGGAAGACGTCGCAGCCGCAGCCGCAGTCCTAGATATCGTAGAAGCCCAAGCTATGGGCACAGGTAATGTCCCCAAAGCAAACATTGTCTAATCATTTTGATGATTGAAGTCTTTATATGATTGAATGACACTTACCACTTACCGATTTGAAGTTACAGTCCTCGTGGACGATCCCCAAGACGTCGCAGTCTCTCTCCTCGTGGGCGTAGCTACAGCAGGTCTCCCCCGTACCGTGGTCGTGAGGAATTGCCATATGCTAACGGGTGAAGTTCCTTGAACTTTATAGTAGTAGTTGGAAAGGCTTTCTCGTAATCTTTTTCACCAATAAACAAGCAAGTTCATTGAACTGATTAGGATTTTGTCAACTTTCCTACTCATTTGATCATGTTCACTGCTATGTTTGTCATAATTTACTTTTGTTTTATGCGATTTTGCATTATGATACTGGTGTGAAGTATTGCTGCTAAATTTGGTGCAGAAATGGTGTAAGGGAAACCCGTCGGAGCAGGAGCTAAGTAACACAAGGATGTACCTTTTATGTGAGGAGACTGGGATTAAGTGTGTTTAGTTTGTTTGGACTTCAATGCTACTATTTTTAATTGGGCAACGCGTTCAGCCTCTTGGATTTGGATAAGTTCCTTTCTGATTTTCTTTATTCTATGGTGGTTTTCTTTGCTTTTATCTATGATAAATAGTTCTATTTTCTGCTTAGGATAAAAGAATCTTAAGATTACGTATATAAATTTATTGAGAAATCATTCCAGGGACTCTGCTAAAAATTCATGTTTTTCTTTTTTTGTTGAGGTGTCTTCTGCGTCTGCCTCATTGCTTTTCTGCTTCTACACTCCCCTGGGATTTACTTCTTTGCTGCCCGGCTATGGGATCTTCAATACTTGATGATTGTGGGTCCCATTTAGCATCATCTCTATTTGCTACGGCTTGAATGAATGTCGCCAGCTGTGATGCAGGTTCCTCAAACTCTAGTGGCATTTCATTATCTTAAAAGGATCTAGGAGATGCGTCAAATGCTTCTGGCAGGTACTTGTATCTGTTCTACAGAAGTTGATGTTTAAGGATCCTTGCAAGACTGGGATTGGTAATATAGAGATCTAATTTCATTTCAAACTTTTAGAAGTGACAACAAAATATTTAGAAGGATGCAAGGATACTTAATGTTTTTTCAACCCGTTTTTGGTCATTCAGCTGACAAGCAACAATAAATTTGGAGTCTTCCATTTCTATTGGGTTGGAAAGTTGGGATGCTGAACTCGCATTTCTTCCTTAGTATCTGCATCTAGATCCAGATGATTATACTGGTAAAATGAGTCAGTTTACTGATAAAAATGTCATGGCCAAAAACCCTCTGATTTTTTAAGTTTATAATATACAATTTATCGACCCCTTGCCGAATCAAACATTATTTTGATCGATTTAAAATAAGAACGAATAAAAAATGTCATTAGTGTGAGTAACAGCTATCACATGGCTGCCTGCCAAAGATGCATATTTATCATCTTACGATAAATATGCAATGCCTTTTCTGTCTCTCTCATGTGGAAACAATCAATCTTAATATTAGGTAGGATCATTGATATTCAATCAATTGGAATGCATAATAAAAGTTTTTAATAATAAAAATTGTATTTTGAATATCTAAGAGCCCTTAATTACAGAGTGTTGAATGACATTGCCAACAACTAATTAGCTGCTAATATTTTCCTTGATTTAAAAAAAAAAGGTTGAGAAGCTTTTAGTGGGGACAAGAAGGAAGAGGAAGATCTTAATCGGAATTATATAGGCCCTACACCAAATATTAGTCAAGTGCTCTTGTCCTCAAACCCAAATTCTTGAAGTGGCCTGCTGACCTTGTCCAAAAGTAAAATCAGAAGAAGGGTCCCGCTACAACGAAGTTGTTGCCTCTCTCTCGATGGGGCTTTTCATTCCAGAAAATCTTAGTGGAGTGGACCATGAAAGAAAGGTAAAGGAAAAGATCAAGTTTGTCTCAGCCTCCTGGGAGCACAACTCATTACCACAGCATATGCAAAGAACCAGAATCACTACATGCCCACCAAAGATCTCTTGGCGCCGGTCATGTCAACCTTTTAATGGGAATGTGATGTATACATGAACCAAAAACCGCAGCCACCCTACCAGGTCACCATCACGTTTTCTGTTCATCACCTTTGCTTGCCGACACTTAACATTATTGAATCACACTTGTGCATCGTGTGCACACGCCAAATATGAACAAATAGCAAGCTAAAGGCAACATAGATTTGAGAAAGAAGGAAATTATTTGTTATATTAGATAGAACATAATGTACAAGTTGCATGTTTTACATATCTCATCGTGAATTTGGAATCAGAGCCAGAAAGGCATCAAGCAAGCTCATTCTTATGCCTCACTCAAGCTTTCGAACTTTACAAATACAATATGGCTTGAATCTTTAGTGCCAAACCACACTCAAGCAAGAATCAGGTTGAAGTATGAAAAGTGAAATACAAATCCTACCTATAACGACAACAATGGTTCAACGCCAAGGAATAATATAATAACCACTATCTAATGTGGAAAAATAAAGATATAAGAAAAAAAAACCTACTGACTAGTGAAAGTAGAGTTATTGATGAATAAAAACCTTCTATTGGGCATCTCAAAGCTGATATAGAGAATGAAACTTTGGTTATTGAACCGGATGGTACCCTTAACCATTCGCCAAGGAATAAAGTTCATACTGCACAGCTAAAAGCCAGCTTTTGTCAGTGGATAGGAAGAATATTGGCTGAGTTTTAGCACCTAATGCTTTTCTCTAGCTTCCAGGCAGCATTAGCTCATCTGCTCTCCTATTAAATCCAGACCCACTAGGAGAAAAGCCACTCCTTGGAAGAGGAGGAAGTAGAAATGTACTCCTTGTGCCGATAACAAGCTCCTAACTGAAGCTGCGAGTAGGAGGAATGCCAGAGTGAGCTCTTTCCTGTATATCTTATTGACCCTCTTGACAGGTATTGGAGCCGCTTCTTTCTGTTCCTTTAATCGGTTTAATTCAGTGAGCTCACTTTCTGAAGCTCCTCTCTGGATTTGCAGAAGGTTTGTTGTCTTTGATTCCCTTTCAGCAGCAGCCAGTAAGTCAGATTCAGATGACCTGCCAGCCTTCTTGGTGACAACCCACTCATAGGAGCTACCCAATTGGAATAATCCAGATACCATTGCATTGAATTTGGTAACCGACATGGTGTTTTCAAATAGAAGGTAAGGAACAATGAAAGGGAATGATTTGGGAGCTGGAAGAATGTTGAGGAATGACATAAAAACAGGTACATAACAAATGACCCAAACAGGAAGCTCAGCCTCTGGCACAAACATGGTTAGAGGAAGAATTATGCAAAACAAAGTGAAGGAGTAGAAGGGAACGATGAGTTTCCTCAATAAAAAGAATAGCAGTATTAAGTTTGCTTTCTTCCATATTGCTATCTGCAGAATTACAACATTAATGGTACTTTAGTATACTGTAAATAAACCACTAACGCCAAAGATTGGAAGTTGTGAAACAATGTACCTTGGAAGTTATGATTGCTGGTAGGCATAAGCGGAAGAGATGCATAGGTCCTGAATGCCAGCGATGTTGCTGCTTCCTGTATGCTTCATAAGACTCTGGGACTTCACAAAGGACCTAAATGTTTTACACAGTAAGTGGCTGTTGTCAGGACATTCCCTGAATCTTCCATTACAAAAATCCTTGCTATGTACCTTCTTTTTCATTTCATTTTTCACCAAGGGGTTATGTGCTTAAATTTGATCATTTGTAGCTATGATTCTTAAACTGAAAAATTTTACTAAAAAACAGACTTATTCGTATGAACTAAATGCTATCTTACTCTTGATCTACATTAAATCAGTAATCAGTGTTACCAAATCAGTGAAAGTACGATATGCAATGATAAAAAATAGGAAAACATAAAATTAAATCAAGCAAAAAGAAACTAAAATAGCATAAAATGAGGTTACCTTTACATCATTAAGGAAGATGAATTTCCAACCATTGAGGTGTGCACGAATAGCTATATCCATATCCTCTACGGTTGTCCTTTCAAGCCAGCCTCCAGATTCCTCAAGAGCTTTAATTCTCCAAACACCAGCAGTTCCATTAAAACCAAAGAAATTTAGAAATACACCATTAACTTGCTGTTCAACTTCAAAGTGGAAACATAGATTAATGTTCTGAAGACGAGTCAACAAGTTCTCATCCTTGTTCACAAAAGTCCATCTAGCCTGAACTAATCCTAATTTAGGGTTGTCCTGCAAGACAAGGGAGGCATCCAAGGTAAAAGCCTGATAAGCTGATTGTAGGCAAGGAACTTAAACGAAAATGATTCTGGATTGTTTCTCTTCACCTCGAAATGTGGCACTGTTTGCTTTAGAAAATCTGGGTTAGGTTGGAAATCAGCATCAAATATTGCTACAAACTCATAGGCCTGCACATACTCACAGCTCATTGCGGACTTAAGATTCCCAGCCTTGTAACCGGTTCTTACCAAGCGGTGTCGATAAATTATGTTAATACCCCTTTGGTTCCATGTGGCAACCTCTTCTTTAATTAAACACTGGATGCTTTCATCATCAGAATCATCAAGAACCTGAATTAATAATCGATCCTTTGGCCAATCAAGTTGGCAGACAGCAGAAATAGACTGCTCATATACCTGTATGAGGTCAGTAAAGAAAGCTATCAACATCATGAAAAATCAAAACAATATGCCTAATAGTACTATATACTGCTCTTGGATGTCCTTGGCCGATAGCTAAGTGTTATCTATCACAGTCACAAAGACTTATTTAATATTCCATTAGTAAGCTAGCTGAAAATAATAGTTATGAGAACTGCAACATAATTTGTCAAAATTCTTTTTATAATAGCTGTTCAATTATTCTCATACCAACAACAAAAGTATTTACCTTACACTGAAATCATGTCCATTATTCTTAAGCACCTAACCAATTCATAATTATTTGTTCAGATCGAATATTAAAGATCAATTTCCTTAAGGAATCTTGTTTCTGTTTCCTTGCATGAATCCTATTACTTTCAAAACAACTCTGTGAATCTGTTAGATAATTCAGCAGAAAAAGAAACTGCCAGATTTTGAGCATCCAAATATTTCACAACATTTTTCATGTATATATCATTCAACAGTTGCTAACCCCCTAGGAGCCATATTTATCAATCTGAAGCAGACCCAAAAAAAAAAAAGTTATTAAAAATAAAAATCCGGATGAGGCATAGTCAGTTTATTACCTCCCTCTCGTTACACATTGGGATTTGAACAAGAACCAAGGGGTACTCATAACCTGATCGCTCGACATCATCTGACCTGAATGGATCCTCCCCAATTCTCGGCTTGATCTTCTTGTATTTAATCCAAAAGCAGCCTAAGCAAAGTATCATACGATCTGCAGATTGGATAAGGAATAGAGCTACACAAAATTTAGACAACGCTTGAATTGGTGGTGCAATGCAATCGGCCCGAAAAGACAACCAAGTGACATAAACCAAGTGGAGCAAGCCCTGGATATCACTATTCCTCGGAATGTGCAAACTGGGATTTTGAAAATAATGCCAACCCTTGAAGTAAGCAACAACCTCAAAAGTGAGAATTGCCAAGGAAGTCGCCAGGAGGACTTTAATGACTGTGAAGAGCAGTTTCCCTTTACCCAATTTTTCACTAGCCATAGTAACATCTTGCCTAAAGATCAACCTTCTCTTTATGGTTCCAAGCAATGCCCAGAAGAGTGTAGCAATCCAAGCAACACAACCGACAGCACGATGAGCCTTAAGAAGCAAAATCCAAGTAACTTGCTTGGCATTCTTCCCTCTGCTCTTTTCCACAGGCCTGAATGCAGCATCTGGGCCGTTAATTTCTACCACAGAGTAGTTTGGGTTCTCCATTTTCACTACCACTGGTGTTCCTTTCCGGGTATCCTTTGCCCACCAATTAGAGAAATCCAATCTTGGAGCCATTTTCTGTACGGTGGCTCTTACTCTTACTTAACAGACAAGAAGTAGCCAAAATGAAACCAGAAACAGAAACAAAATCCCGACAACAAAAGTTCAAAACTCAGATCTCAAAAATCTAGTAATGAACAAGACCAATTAGCAAAACAAAAGGACCCCAAATCAAAAGCGAAAAGAAGCCAGATTAAGGCTCTCCATTGTAGAGAAAATGTTGCAAAGGAGAAGAAGCGAAGAAAAAGGGTGTTTGTAGTTTATAGTAGCAAATGGCAGTTTAGAAGACAGACCCAACATGGGAAAACAACATTATGAAGAGAGGTATCTGCAGCTGTAAGACCCGTAACAGTAACATCAAGCAATGTGTGTGTGTTTTTTTTCTTTGGTCTCATTAATGATCCAAAAACAAGCTCAGCCCCTCCGTTTTTAACTTCCCACCCAGAATTTACTCTTTCCTTTGGTGCATACGTTTTTAGCTTATACAGTCGCAAAGAATCTGCTAAACCAGTTTATAAAAATTGAAAAAAGAAAGCATTAACTAAATACTTGCAAGAAGGCAGTAGCACATTCCCTAACTGAAAGTGGACTTCACTTCATCACCAAAACTACACTCCAGTTTGACTAATAAACTCCATTGTTTAGTTACCCCAAAAAAAAAAAAAAATCTAGAAACAGAAGGCCTCGGATGCTGACCAAGTGGCTTTAGTCTAATAAAAAAAATTAAAAGAGAAAGGAGGGACATAGAGAACATGGTCCATCAAAAATACTTAATCTTAATATTATTAAAGTATACTAAAATACACTACAATATGCCAAAAAACTGTTTTATATTGAATTAAAATATGTAAATTAAATTAAAATAGAGGTCATTCATTCAAAATTGATACAATTAGATAATAGAAAACCAAAAAAGAGCATACAAATACGCAATTGTTTGAAGGATTTTTATTGGTTGGTGTAATAATTTATGATTACAACTTCATATATACTTGAGCATGTAATTCTGCTCCATGTTTTAATGTCGGTTGTGTAAGATAAAAATATTCTTTTGTTCTTTTACGTTGTCTAGTTGTATTGTCATAATTTAATTTTTGTAAATGAAAAAATTAAAATAAGAAAAGAAAAACAGTGCTTTGGGCTCGAAATGTCAATAGTACCCTCTGTCGGAGTGTTCAAACTTCGGAATGAAACCCCGGAGAGGGAAGTGGATTGTATTTTCAACTTTACAAACAAATTTTCCTTTGTTATATAGCTTGATGGCATGACAAAATTAATAAATAATGAGATTTTATTTCTCTCTCTTTTTTTTTTTTTTGTTTGGTTGAAGGTAATTATTAGTATTATCATTTGCAGTTTGCAGGCAGGGGAAATCAGTATATGATATAATAATAGTTAATGTCATAATTTAGCTTTGATATTTGATTATTAAGAAAACAATTTTTTCAGAGATACTCTATTAAAAAAAGACAGAAATAAATTAAACGTGAGGCAGGCAAGGTATCTGGAAGATTAGTAAATAATACAATAAAATAATCGCAGAGAAATGCTTAGGTGCTGTGGCCAAATGTTCTAAATATTTTTATTCTAGTGTTGAAATGGACAGCTTTTTTTGCCCTTTTTTTTTTCATTTGCTTTTCGTTTCTCTTTTGATTTGGATAAACATTTAGAGCTTTGCTTTTTAGATTGGAGGCTTATTAAATGCTAGAGTGAATTGTGTAAAAGATGTTGATTTGGAGTTTAAACTTTAATCTTCCCTTTTTGGTTTTTTGTTGCTCCCCACTTCCACTTGTTCAGCCTCTTTACAACCAGCACTTACCCTTTGCCTTTTACTAAATTCATTAAGATGGGGCCTTCAAATTTAAGAAAATAAAAAGAGTATTATTAATTAAAACCAAGAGCTTGGTAGAAGGGAGGCTGGATAGCAGGAACGCCCTTTTTGAGCAGGTTAAGCCATTTAATTTTCGAAGTAAAGAATGATGCAGACAAAGAGAGAGAGAGAGAGAGGGAATAGGAATCAAAGAAGACGTACAGCCACACTCAAGCAATAGTGCAATACCCTACTTGCTTGCTATTAAAGCCACCTCATGTTTTTGTCGGCCGAAATTCATAAATCAGCAGGGTGGACTTGGGTTAAATAAATCACAACTAGATAGGTTGTGGTTTTGGACCTCTCTATAACTAGACCTTCAACTTCTTTTACATTCAGATTGTTTGTTGTTGTGGCAGTAGTTGATGATGCATCGATCACTATCTCCTTTACCTTATGAGATATTGATCAGTACTCTATTTCCTTAGATAATAAGCCTTAAATTTAATTGGTCCTATCTCCTTGCAGTTTCCTCAACCGACACGACAAGGTCCATAAGAATAAAATTCTCACTCAAATCCTCATTCATTTGTATATACAATACTTCTCTTGTTCACCGCTACTTACTAAGTAATTTAAGCCAAAAGTTCAAGTGAAAATACTACTGCTATATTATTTTTGCGGTAAACCAAAATGTTAGAAAGCAACACCATATATAAATTTGTGGATTGAGTTATTTGACACAACAAACTTGTGATCCATGCATGTTTGTACTTTGTAAGTGAAGCAGAGAAGTAAGCTAAGCTGGCCTGAAGGTGAAAAGGACAACAAATGCATGTGCCCTTGCAGCCTTTTTTTGAAATTTTTTCTTGTTATCTTGAAAAGTAGCCTTTTCAATTCCATTTTATAGTTTGATTATGCTGACAAAGTTAACAAGTGAAATGACAGACACAAGCTACCATCGCTCAAGCACGACACATCGAATTATAGCGCAAATATATTGCAACACATGTCAGGAGGAATGGCTCGAGAGACTAGCAAATACTAGTTCAAGGGATGAGCAGAATTAAATAGCAAAGGAAAGGAATTCCTGCTAATAATTATAACCATATCGTATTTTTCCATTATGTCAACCTAAAATGGTTATGGTCAATCTAAAATTCGGTACAATAGCATCTGAGATTTCTGTAAAGAATGAAAACCCAGATAAAGAACCCAACTTCATCCATTTCTTTTAATGATGGGATGATCAAAAAATATGACCAAAATACTTGGCGAGAAAAATGCAGCCAATTATGGCAAACTACCATTCGCTATTTCAGCTCTCTTGACCCCATTCCCTCCCTCAAGTTCTGAACCGTGTAAGGACAATTCACGTTTCAAACCAGGGGTTCTGGCTGCAGATGTCTCGTCTGAAAATGAAAAAATGCTGCTATCCCCTGCAATTGTTGGACTTGATTCGGAATTGGCCATATTGATTTCTTCTGAATGATTCATTATATAATCAATTGCTACTTGAGAATCTTGCTCACAGCTTTTTATTTCTTTTGAAACTGACATATATGGCTTCTCTTCAACCATCTTCATACTTTCAGGGTTTTCTATTACAGCTTCGGAACTGGCTGCAACAAACAGATCTTTATCTTCATCACAGCTGGGAACCTCCATATCAGTAGAACATGACTGAGTACTAATCCTGTCTGTATTCTTTGGATTTTCTCTCACTGCTGTAGAATGAATCCTATCTATATCTTCACCATTAATTCTAATAGCTTCTGAATCAATCTCGAAACATGAGTTGTTATCGTGGAAGGAAACCTCCTTAGAAACAGATGAATTTGGCTTGAACCTAACCATATCACCATCCTCATTTCCATGAACATCATCAGCATTCATTCCAGTAGATGACTCAACTTCATGTCCAGGAATTTCTAAATGCAACCTACCATTCAATGACAGGGAAGCAGAACGACTAGGATGACAAATAGATTCTTTTCCAGCTACACATTCAATTTGTTCTTTCGGACAATACTCTACTTCAGCTTTAATTGCTTTCTGTTCATCCTTCCCCTGAGTTCCAGAGGTTCTAAGACATGATGGACGTGCAGAAACCCTGCACAAAAGCAGGACAAAGAAATTCCCATAAGGTCACATATATAAAGCAATGAGCAAATATAATTAGGCATATAAGAAAGCAACAGGAATTCTTCTCAAAGTACTTTTTCATCTTTTGGCTGCGCCAAAGCATAAGACAACAATATTCATATGCCTATATTACTTGGTCCTGTAAATGCACACATATTGGATGCATGTTTTGACAACCAAAAGCTAGGGATCTGTGTAAAAACCAAAAACCATCTACGGCTCTCTTTTACAACAGATTTAGCATGCCATAATATATTCATAACAAAACAATGGGTCAGTCTCCATAAATCTTCAGTTACAGGTACCGGACAACAAAAAGGATCAACCAGATGTTCAAATCTCATAATAACTGCAATTTTATCTCAAAGGTTAATTCACATTAAACCTTTGAGATTTAAAGGGCAGAACCAATTTTATTTTTCTGATTAGTTAGTGACAAACTCTGGTTATTTTCGATAATTTGAATGGGCACTCTAGCTATCAAAATTTCAGGTTACAAGTCCTTTACAAAGTAATCACTAACCGCAAAGTAAATCAAAACTTTAAAACAAGAGAAAGGGAGAGATAGAACTGGCTTTAAGTGCCAGTACTTGTTGAGGGAAGGAAAAGGCACCTGCTATACAAAAGCATATATGCTCCCTGAGAAAGTACCTCTTCCAATTCAACCCTTGTAACCTGGAAAAAGATGCAGAACACGGTTAAGAAAAAAATTGACAATTCAAGTGCACTAGACATGACGTACAAAATTTTTTGTGTCTACCCCATCCTCTTCTTATGATCAACTGGGGATGACACAGAGGCCTTGGCATAAAGAAAAAGCAGCAGAGATATACTTTGAATATGCACAACACTCACAATCATAGAAGGGAAATGGATGGTAAATAAACATGAGAGAGAGAGAGAGAGAGTACCCTACAGTCATCAATTTTATACCAGTTTCCACAGAAATCTTTGGTGTAGCAGATGTAATGACCAAAAAAGGATGCATTCAGCATATCCACATGGACAACAACCGCATAAAGTTTGTATACATTGGTATCATCTCCAACGTCACTCATGTAAGGGGTAAGATCTAATGCCTCAGGAAAGCTAACTCTTTTGTTGAGTTTTCCAAAATGGCCACTCTGCAAAGATTTTCAACAGAAAGATATCATAAGATAAAGCTTCAATGATCTGATTTACCAGCAAAAGGAACAGACAACAAGCATCCTCTGCCATGTCAACAAATGCCAATAAATAGACATGCATTGTAGATATAGGTAAGACCTGAAATCTTTTTAAGGCAATGGTAAGAATGTTAGGGGCCCATCGTATAGTAAGGCGCTTCCATGCCTTGACATAGTCATTGCAGCTGAAAAGAGGAATAAAATACCATAATTAACACTATATCCAAAACAGGAATCGACCAAATAGTTACACATCAAACTACAATAAAAATATGGCTAAAACTCCTATCTGGATAATTTAAAACCATGCAAAACTAAATTCTAAATTATGTACTTCTTGAGACCAAGTGGAGGAGAAGCAATCATACCCATCACATTTGTACATGTTTTCTCCATGAAGCCACTCTTTAACAGTGAACTGATCAAGGCATTCCTCCAATGATGAAGCATCTCCATGAATTTCAACAGTTAAATCCATCATATTTTCATATTGGTTTGAAATCTTATTGCAATTGTTACAAATCACCTAAAAGGTTTTAAAATGATCATTAAGCATCAAAAAGCAATGTGACTTTTAAAAAAGAGTAAGACAAAATCAACTGATATCACCTTTAATTGATCAGCTGTTCAACTGCTGAACAAATGCTCACTTAGTTAAGGAGCAACACTCTTATTTACTAGAGTTTCTAACTCATATAGGTACTCTATTTTCGGAAACAGCTAAATTAAGAAAAAAATTGAAAAACACAGATGTTCCAGAACATTTTACTAACATAAGCTATAGATACTGTATCATTATCATGGTGAATATCCAAAGTTCAACAGAAAAAAAAAATTCAATTATTCTAAATCAACAGGATACATCACCTGAGACTGTAAATGACCACCGAATATATGCTGAATAAGGGTTGTCTCTTGAGAGCTACAATCAACAGCTTTTTCTCCACCAAATTCGTCAAGACAAACTAATTGCATTGTATCAATAGCAAACCTGCAAAAAAAGACAATGATAATAACAAATAAATCTAGAGGTCCACAATTTCCCCAGGTTAAATTCAAGAAAATGTCAAAAGAAGATGCAATCAAATACAAGTGATACTAGCCTCATGAATTCATGTGCATCCTCCTGTCTTCCGTAACCAAGACTACCTCCAATATTACGCAACTGTGAGAGAATGTTAATTGGTGAAAATGGATGCAAACTTTGGCTGGAACTTTCGACATGAGTTTGAAATTCGCACAGAAAGCACCAATCATTATGTCTACCTGGAAAATAGAAATGACAACCATAAAGTTCAGTTGTTGTTCAAGAACCTAGAGATGAAAACCCTTGCAGTTCTAGTGTCTTAATTTACATTCTTTCCGATGACCTTTCTCCAACAAGTAAGCAACAAGTGGCCGAGTGGATACAAGGCATTGCAGAACCACATTGGCAAAGCAACTGCAGTAATTGGAAAAACAGGAAAAAATAGACAAAAATTAGATGAAGGAACATAAGCTTATCTTGTCTAATCAGCAATTCCAACAAAAAAATAAGCTCAAACAAAAGGAAATATAAGCATGGTAAATATGAACCTGTTTCCAGAATTTAAGAGTCCACATGGAGGGAATCCTGCTTTCTCCCAGTTGAAAAGTTTTACAAACTCATCATATGGGAAAAGAACCTGAAAGGAATTACAATGAGTTTCAAATTTACTTCTTTTGCTTTAAGAAGGGTTAAAAGATTCACCTTTCTTGGCTTCTTGATAATCTTAGAGGTTCCACTGGCAGGAACCAGAGCAACTCCAGAAAACGGTTTTGTGCTTGCAGTCTGCACTGTATTGACTTTGCACTTTGTCTTATGCCCAGCATTCCAGTGCACCCGTTGGCAAGCCGAGGAACTAAAAAGAGAGCAATGGTAATAAGATTAAACCATCCAAACAATAGAAGTAGTTGTGTAACCAACAGTACATGAATTAAAAGGTTCATAAATCAACGTTTGCTAGCATGTTAATAGAAAATTCTTGTCAAGGAGCCATTGAAACTAAGAAGCTTTTTGCTAACTTATGCAAATATGACTACAAAACTCGCATCTTTCTGCTAATTGAGTAATGGAGTGATCAAAAGCTTGCAAGGCTTCTAATTTACTAGGACGATTAAACGAGTGATCAAAAGCAGTTAATCACTAGGACGATTAAACGAGTATTAATAACATTAAAAAAAACAAAATTTTTTTCCATTTTTACTTTAAGTAATCCCGCAAAGTAAAAGAAACAGCTTCATCAATCATGAAAAACAATAATAACCGCCGTAAGAACCAACCAAAGAAAAGAGTACGTACCAATAACGAACAGATTTGCAACGCGAGCACTTCTTGGAGGCGGGATTGGGACAAACGGCGCAAGGAGAGAGGTCGGTGTCGAGGGGCATGGAAGGCATTGGTTGGTCACGGTCGAAACTGGCGTCGACTTGGAAGTATTTGGATGCCGTATTCCTGAGCAAGTGAAGAGCCCCCAATGCGAATATAAAAAGCGTGAATATGAATTGCAGTAACCAATTTAGATCCAACGTTATTCCACGGGCATGCATCTACACAGCGTCCTCGATCCCGATCCTAGGGTTTTTCTTCATCGATTGTCCTTTTGGTCCCCTTTACCAATTTTACTAAATTTTTTTATTATTAATTTGAATTACTCTTACTCTTAAGCCCCCAAAATAAAAATTAGCAAAGCAAAATCCCTTTTTTTTTTTTTTTTTTAATTAACAAAAAAGAAGTCCCATTTCTTACTTGAAAAGAAAATAAAGTCGGCACTCATCTCATCCAATAGAACGAGCCAGCGATCAAAAGCATGACCCTTGCCCACTTATGCCAAGGTTCCACGCCGCTTTCGCTTCTTAAAAGGGGCATAGAGACTTGAGTGAATCTTTTCATGTCAAAATTGTTAAATTAAGCTGAAGATTTAAGAAGCATCCCATAAGTTTAGGATTCGGAGTTAGTGCCTGCCTAGTTGCTATCGTCACAATCGTATTCATTCCCATTTACTTTTACAACTCGTCCGTGTTTTCACCGAATAATGTACGCGTAAGTGTTACGAATTTAAAAAAGAATTCTAAATTTCACGTCACATATAATAATAAAAAAATCATTAGAGTATATAAAAATTTATATCATTTTTACTTTGTGAAATATTTTTTGTAAGATAAAATCATAAAGTTAGAGGGGTCAAGTGGATAATACTTCACAAGAGTGTGAACCGTGACAGATAGACTGATTTGGGACTCCGGATGAGTGGATGCTCAGGTCCCGAAACCATCCAGATTCAGAGCTTAAGTCTCGATCTGTGACAAGTAGTATCAGAGTCAATTTTAAATCGTTGGATCCACGCCAAGTGCTTCGAGGAAGGTAGGCAGGATGAGCTTTACGAAGTTGAATGGAAGAGAATGTCACAGATTTAAGGAGGACTCTTAAATCCTTCATCGAATATAATAAGAAGGTCACTCCACTAAAAAAAAATAATGAAACTAAAATAAAATACTTGCCTAAAATATATGATCCTTTCTTGCAAGGATCCTATCGCGAAAAAATAAAAAAATTATTTTCACCTTTAAGTATGTTTTCACCTTTAAGTAAAAACAAAAATACGGCTCAAAATAGGAAGGTCATTGAGATATATAAAGGTTCACACTACTTCTGTCTTGCGATGTATCTTTTATAGGATAAAATCGTGAGGTCAAGAGAGTTAGAGTGGATAATATCTCACAAGAATGTGAACCCTAACAAAAAAATATATCTGAAACATCGAATGAATAAATGTCTGAATTTCGAAATCACACGAATTCGAAGCTTAAGTCTCGACTTGTTACATAAGCGCTTGTCTTGTCCGTGGGATTGGGGAACAACAGCTGGAGCCTGGAAACCACAGCCCGCCCATCGGCCCTTTTATTAGGACTAGCCCTCGATGTTCTGTCCGTCTAATTGAGGCATTCCCGCCCAACTTTAGGTCCAAGATTCCAATCTTTCTTGTTGAACATATCCAAGGCTAGAAATAGCATCGAGCAGTCCAGAAATTGGTCCAGAGGAGAAAACACACGGGCTTTGGTTTTTCATAATGATCCCGAAGCTGAAAGAGTTTGGGTCTAACAACCATAATGACGCACATATTAACAAAGCCTCCGTCCTTCCTCCATTCACTAAGCCCAAAAAGAAAACGTTTTGAGCTTGCTTGAGGAGGACATAGGGACTTGGAAGTGGTGGGTTGGCTACAAGTTAAATGCATTTGCGAGAAAATCTTTTCTTTTGGTCTTCAGTTTTGTCTAATAAATGATCTTTTGGCAGAGGCGTTGACCAAAATATTGTTACCAGTATCAAATTAGGTTCACTTTATTAGGTAGGACAATTTAAACCAGTATCAAATGTAACCGACCCACTGTCATGTGTCAAGTGCTCACAAGTCTAATACTAATATCCTTCTTGGGGACCAGCTAAATTTGATCTCAGACACCTGGCTACGCTTTTTTTTTCGGCCTGTTTCTGTCACAGATTCAATGGAAGCACTGAAAGGAGACATGAATTGAACCCAACCAATATCTTCCAAGAAGAATTACCAAACTTCGTAGTTTGCAAGAAACTGTAATGGAAAGTTGGACCGAAAGGCTGAAAATAAAAAAACGAAGTAAATAGGCCACTTAACCTTTATTGTCTAATCATTGTAGGATATAATTAACGTATTTGGAAAATTAATCTAGTTTATGGACATTAAAGTTGTTAAAGGTTGCCAATTAGGATTGAAGAAACAACGGACTTTGTTATTTCTCCTCATGTCGCGTTTGATCACAAAACTTTGTATTTAGTTAAAGCAGCCCACTTCATTGCCTTCTAAGCATCCACCCAAGTTAAAATATTAATTAAAGTGTTAAAGCCAGATAAAAAGATATAATAGTTTTTAGTGACTCATCATCAATTTAAGATATTTTGATCATTATAATTAAATTAACGTATCAAATCAATTTTATTTTTTAAAGTCTACGTCAATTTTACTAGATTTAAACTCTATCTAACAATATATGAATATACTAACTTATCATTCTTTTGTTGAACGTTTTATTGTCATGTCAAATTAGGTCAACTTCATTAATCTTAAATCAAATTTCAAAAATTTTGATAATCAAAATTTAAACACCTCATATTTAGATATAAATATTAGTTTTTTTTTTAAATATGGGTAATCAATTCTCAACTTTTTTTTTTGGATTTTCTCCTTTCTCTCTCTTTCAAATAATGATTTAAACATCAAAATACAGATATAAAAAATATTTTCAACCTTTGTTCTTAATCAATCTCTTATGATTTCATATTTTTACCATCTATGATAGAAGTCGACACTAATACACTAATATTAAGGTTGCTATCGTTTGGAGACATTTGCTTAAGTGTTTCGGGAAGTTTGAAAGCCAAAATATTAATTATCAATCTCTATCATATTCAATTCTTAAAAAAAAAAAAAAAAAAACAAAATCACATGTGGAAGACACTAGTATTGTTCTTGGTGTAATAATTGTGAACACCCAAACCTAATTAATTTGGTTCACATGAGCCTGCTTAATTGCGTTTTATTTTTAAGAAATAATGTTTTGTTTTTCAATTCATAGAATTGTTTTCATATGAAAGGGGAAGGTACCAAGTAATGGAAAAGATGAGAAGAAGAAAACAAAGTCACAATAGTTCAGTTCTCTATTTTCCATTGTCGTTTCCTTCCATATTGCTCCATTACATGTTATATTTAAATTGATTTTCAATGATATTTATAGTATTATTACAACTACTATTTTTTTTCCTCGCATTATAGTGGGGACATCCTCCTTTGTGTCTGTTATTATTCAGCAGTAGAACCGAATCCAATGCAAGCGCGTTTCCTTGAAAGCAAGACAAGGTTTTATTTAGGCCTAATTCTTTAATTCCCCTCATATAAAGACGGGCATGATGGAAAAGCCTATTGCTCCACGAATACTTTTGACAAGGAATGGGATGTTTATGTTGTGCTCGCAGTCATCAAAGCAATCCTTAATCAGATCTTCTGCAAAAGCTTTGTATTTTGTTTGCTACATTGGAAAAGGAAAAATTAGTTGGAATGAATATGATAATGACAGGCAACTTACTGTCTCGTCAAAACCAATCATCCCATGGAGAGGCGTTAGGATTAGGGCCGCGGCCAAGAAAACCCGGAGTGGTGTTGCCCACCATAAATCCATTTTCTGCGCTTACCAAAGGCCCAAAGCAGAGGATTAGGATGTATATCTATGATTTCACATGGATGCCAATTCCTGACAAGTGAAGAGGTTTGTTAGTGACAGTAGCAAACAAAATGTAACTGTTGAGATATGAGAAAGTGATCAATTTTTGTAAAAAGCAGAAGATGCCAAGTGTAAGCCATGGGCAAAATAAAAGTTTTGTCCGGGAGTTGTCCGGTGGCAAATGAAATCTAACGTCAATATGTGTAACCTCCGGGGTTTGTGGGTTGGGTGTTTGGTTTTTTCTGGTTCACTTTGCACCAAGGTCCCATATTTGCACTCTTTTAAATTTGTGCTTGTACGGATTTATAATTACTAGCATCTCTTTTTGTCCTTAGCATAAATAAGATCACCTGCTTCAAGGCTTTCAACTGTAGATGGAATATATATATGTGTATATATATATATATATATACAGGAAAAGAAGCATTTGGTTGCTTGTGCTGCCTAAAATTTTATGGCCTGCTGTTTCAACTTTCAAAAGCTTCAACTCACGAGGCTTCAATTCCCACAAGTTGCTGTCTACACACAAGCTTGAAGTCCCTGAATTACTCATTTTGAAATACATATTTTCTTTTTTTCTAAGGAACCCATTTTTGGGGTTCGTCAGCATAGAAAATGATTTGTTTTAGTCGATTTTGTATATCAGTGAAACGAGTCTCTTGAATTCGGTAGTGGTTGACCTCTAATATTGAATCAGGGGCCCGGTTTCTACGATCATTTTTGTACCCCAAATCAAAATCAATTATGTGAAACAAAACCCAAAAGACAAAAGTTAAATGAAACGTAAAATTGAAAAAAGAAAAAAAAAAAAAGAAGAATAACTGCATCAGCGGTCAGCAGTCAGCGACTGGTTTGTACGATTGGAAAATAATTTGATAAATTTTATATGGTTGTCAAAGAGAAAGTACAGACTACCAGAGAAGCATGTGGGCTCCACACTCCACCTAGGCCCACCTGATTGGGCCGTCCTGTCCAGGAGTTTGAGCTAGATTAATTAATAGGGCTCCAATCCCAAGTGAATTTTTTTAACTTTTTGAACTTCGGGAAATGGACAAGGTCCAATTAAAGACGTCCATCTGTTTTTTATTACTGCCTACTTAAAAAAAAAAAAATTGCCCCATTATTTAATATGCTATTAGTAAAGTATTTTATTGATAAAAAGTAAATTACAGTTTTTTTCCACTTCAAATTGCAGATCAGTAGTATGCAAAAGATGCGAAAGAAATTAATTACGCTTTGCTCAATTAGTTATTTATATAGCAATGAAAATTTTCTCAAAGTTAAAGAGAAGAATTAATCCCATCTCACAGGAATTTTCTATGCGTATCAATAATATAGCTTTTGTATCTGTTGAGTACATATGAGCATGTTGAAAACTTAGAAATTTGTAGTGACGATTTTCAAACCGATGCTTTAAAGAACATGTGGCAACAAATCATTAGTTATATGGCACATGATGAGCTTAAGTTCATGTACAATATATGGCCAATGCAATAATATATAATATAGTTTTCAATTAGGTTATTATTATTATTATATTTAATAATTTATGTAATCGATATCAATTATAAAGCTAGTGAAAGAAAGTGTATCACGTTAATCAAAATTTGTTTATGATTAAATTAATCCGTGTATTAAGGATGCTGTCTCAACCAATCACTCCTTAATTAATATTCACATTATTTCGTTTCTTGTGTAGTTTTTAGTCGGATGGTAAGCCCACCTTGCTTTCTTTTTGTTTT